TCGGTGAGACACCAGCATGCAAAGGTTGATCGACACTCGCAATTAGTTAGGCATTCCCGCTTCTAGGGAGAACTGGATCCGACAAATCTGTCCTCAACGTGGGATGTTCTATTGCGCGTTTCCAGCGCGGCAGATGATGCAAGGCCTGAGCGGTGTCCCATGGTGTGCATACTCCATGAATCATCATAGGAGGTGGTAGCGTACACCGAGAGGCTGGAAGTGCTCATCATTAAATCAACATTTGACCGAGTATCAGACTTGCCGGCAGCTCGCAATACTGGCCGGAGGCTGGAACATCAGCTGGGCCGTCCGGTGAGGGTGAGCATGGGCACAGGCGGGGGACAGAAGCAAGCAACCTGCGTCGCGCCAGCAGCCCTGAAGTCTCGGTCCCGAGGGGCCGGTCTTTAAACGAGGCCTCTATCCTCGCCTCTATTCTCCATTTGCCCTAGCCCCTATCTTCGTGTGCAATGCAATGCAATTGAGTTTGGCGTGCGGGTGCGGTCGTGGCCGTGAGCCGTCATTGGGCTCTGGCTGTGCTCAGCAAGCTTCCGGGGATGCACCGCCGCACGGGTTGCCGACAAGGACGTGTGTCCCTCACTGTTAGTATATACCGCAATCGATGGGAATCAGCTCGTTAGATCAGGACCGGCGTGACGATGGCCGTGAAAACACCAACGGGGAACTTGGCTTGGCGGGCTCGTTTGCAGGCGGTGGGTGCATTGTTCGGAAGGCATGTCACCTGAGGAATGGGCGACCTCGAGAGAGCAGCTGGCATGCTACGATGATTACCTAGAAGTAATTTCCCCAGTGGTTCTGTAGGGGCGGTGTCGGCGGCGAACGAAGCTAAAGAAGGAGCTGAACAAGCCACGGGGAAAAGCGCCGGTCCATGCCACAGGGCGAAGGTCGACGGCGCCGACCGCTCTGACGCGTTGGGGAGGGACGGAGGGGGAGCGGTCGGTCACAGGGTGGGTGGGTGGCTGGCCGCATGAAGCGAAGGTTGGGAGATGGAAAGACTCTGGATGCAAAAAGACTGGCGGCCTAATGGGTGGCGTTGGGATGCCTGATATGCTCCCATTATCGGTGGCCGAAGACGGACAGAGTGAGTGGACAAAGTTGGCGATGGACGCCGCGAACGCCGCTCGGTTCGCGAGGCGACACCCGTGACTGTAAGCAGACTACTGTGATTGCGCGGAGTGAAACGGACCAGTTGATGCATCTGTGTGCTTAAATACCTGAATGCGGGCGACACTTTGTTCGGTGGGCTACCTAGATGTAGATATGGTGAATGGAAGTGAAGTTGTGATGGACGTCGATAGGTCGGCATTGCCGGATATGGTAACGTACTCACCTAGGTAGGTATTTGATTCGTAGATGTTTACGTAAGCAAGGTGGACGGGATGAGTACCTAGTAGACTGTTCTGGGCAGCCAATGCGAACCGGCTGTTTTTCCCAGTGGACAAAAGCCGGGCCCTCGAGAGCTTAATTGCGGACCGGGGCTGGAGCTCTTTTAGCAACAGGAGGTAGGTACCGTAGTCTTTCGCCATAAGAAATATAGCCAAGGTACCTAGCGTCCGGTAATGAGCGAAGGGGCTCTCATATGATATTGGCGAACGGGCCACCAACGCAAGTTGAGCAAAAAGTGGTTAGGAAAGGGAAAAACAAGAGAAAAAAAGGGGAGGGATAATACTTGTACCGCGTCTGGGAGGGAGTGCGGAATCTTGGAAAATGACCGGAGTCCCCCTTGTCGATTCCCAGTTGTTTCAAGTCCGTTAAACCCTTGCCTGAAGACGTTACAGGGTATCCACTACATACACATTCGAAGCCTTGGGAAATCAGGTCCACGGACTACTTGCTCATTACCCTGTTTACCCAGACTCGATATACCAATGTTCCACAGGTGGCCCGGTGTGTTGGTTTCCTGCCAGTCGATGAAACTACGTAGCCGATGTGTACGGATACTGTTGGGCCGATAACGAACGACTCCTCAGTTGGGAGGCCCCTGGGAGTCGTGACGCCACCAGCAAGACCAAGGAGGGGATCTGCTCTTGTGCTGCGCGTGTGCCTGACTTTGCATCACACAGCAGCTGCACCTCAGACAGCGAAGCAGCAGCAGCAGTACGATGCACAATACGTATTCTTATAGGTATATGCAGGGTTACATATCTACGATACCTACTCCGGTACATACTGATACAAATACATATCTACCAGGGTAGGTGGCATGTACCTACTTTGGAACATGTACCAGCAGAAGCCCAACCTGCAGCATCTTCCGCCCCAGATCGAATGAATCTTGGGCTGTTCTAGCGTCGGCAGCACAGCAAAGGGGTTCCGTCCAACCAACCTGCGAGCGTTCTCTCTCTTTCTGTCTGTCTGTCTGTGTCTCTCGCTCCCTCTCTTCCTCGTCGCCTTCCCCCATCATCCTGCTGCTTCGTCCTAATGTGTTCGCGCACGCACACATACACACATACACACATACACACACACACACACACACACACACACACACACACACACACACACACACACACACATACACACATACACACACACACACACACACACACACACATACATACACACACACATACATACACACACACACACACACGCGCGCGCTTTGGGCAGAGAGGCTCGTTCCACAACCTCCACGCTGTTCTCTTTCCCACTGCTGCTCAATCCAGTTTCTCTATTGTTGCCGTTCCTGATCCAGATCCTGGGCAATTTTCGACCACCCTTGGGTTAGGTAGGTAGTCCGTAGAGAAGGATTGTGACGGGTCCGACATCATCAATTCACCACTCAACAGTCCCCAATCCGCCCTTGTCGCTCACTTTTTTTTCATTGTTTATTCTCTTCTCCTCATCCTTACAACCAGACCCTTCGTCTTGCCTTTCTTGCCTTATTTGCGCGCCGACCTCACCAACTGTACCGTTCCCTATTCGATTCATAGTCCGGCTCCTTGCCAGCCCAGCCCGCCAGCCCGCCATCCCATCCAAACCAATCTAAACCCCCCTCCCCTCCCTCTCCTTCATCGACACCAAGCAAGCATCGCGTTCCTAAGCTACCTATCCCGACAACGCCTTGCCCCCCCCGCCCGACACACGACCACGAACGAACCCGCCACCCCTGGCTTGTGCATCAACTCCTTCTCAACGCTGCCAGCAAACATTAGAAGCTTGGAGAGGCCGCCCTTACTTCTTGATCCAACCGAACAACTCATCTCTACTCCCGCGAAACCTGGCCCAGTCGAAAATCCCCCCCGTCCGGGTCGTGACGCCGCCGCGGGAAGCCCGACTCGTTGTCCCTGTTCAGCCGACGAAACAGCGGAGTCGCAATTTCACCCCCCGTCCAACGCCAACAACCGGTGCCCTTTTCTCCGTACCGGGCCACGCCTGGCTCGTACCGCAGTACTAATCTCCTTGACACTTGCCTAACGCGCCAGCTTCTCCTACCCTCGTTCCATGACACTCCATCCATACGCCGTTTATCGACTAGGGTCTCATCCTACCATCTGAAGGGCACCCAAGGGGCTGCCGACCAAGCGCAACGGAAAAAAAAAACAATCCACGCTGATCTGTCGACGACCGGACGCTCTGCACTGCACCCGCTGGCACTGCACACGAACGAACAGTTTCGGCATCAGCACCAATACTACACAAGACGACCCTTACAACTCGAGGAAACACGTCTCATAATTCACTGTTCCCTTGACGCCTTGGCTGGCTTATGCTGGCCCACGACCTTAATCCAGCATGACGAGGCCTCACATTATCCGCGCCGGTAGGTTTAGGCGACCCAAAACACCCGCGCCGGCATCCATTCCTCCTGGCGCATCACGCTATTCCTCACCCCAAACATAACCTTCCCCCTTTTCCCATTGGTCCTGGCTTTTCCGTGTCTGAGCTTTGGTCTGAACCTGTCTTGCTCAAACGACTGGAATTACGGCCGATCAATCTTACGGAATTCTTCCTCCCCTCCCCCTTGGCCAGGAGAAACTTCCCCCCCAAATTACCACAACTATCCGCCTTGGTTTGGCATGTCACGCTGACCTATTGCCGTTTTTTTGGTCGCATTACCAGACACCATCGACCTCCAAGATCCCGACGCCCCGTCAGCGAAAGACCATCCTCCAAGAACTGTCGGCTCCCTTGGCCCACACCAGGCCGAGACTCTTCGAGAGGTCGCTCAAGAATCTGCCGAAGAGCAGTCGCACAACCCGAGGCAGTCTTGGACGGATCTCGGCCCCGACAACAACGGTTCAGACTCGGACGATCTTGCAGGAGACGTCTCCAGGAAACCAACCGCCGCAGCGATGGACGACGCAAGCAAAAAACAGCAACACCAGGATGCGCTGGCTGTCGCGCAGAATGGAGGTGTGACGAACTCGGATGACGGAAATATGGACGACTCGGACGATGATTTGGATGACGACGACATGATGGACAAGATCTCGAGTTCGCCTTCGATTGAAGATGGTGGGTACACTTCGATTATACCTCCGCAACAATGGCCGCGGCGAGTCGATTCTCTACCAGTCATGAGAGACCGCGGCTCCCCCACTTCCCCTACATTCAGCGAGGCAAGGTCCTCTTCTCCTTACATCGAATCCCTTGAATACCCCCATGCGTTCCCTTTTTGGCTGCATAGCAATGCGGCTGCCGATTCAGCAAGTCATCATCATCTTCGTGGTGAGTATACCGGATAGGGTCGACATACGAACGACGACGAACGATGCGACGAGCAATGCGGCGGCGCGTACTACACCAACGATCAAATCGACACTGAGCATATCGCCGAATGCTACAACGAAGAAGGAGACCGCGACACATTCTACGGATATTACGATGATTGGACTTGGAATGGTGGGAACGACAGGAGCCATGAAGCAAAGTTTGGTCTCGAGAGTGTGGCACAGCATGGGCCGATCATCGTTCGCTCGCTTCGTCTCCGAAGCGCTGAGGCACAGGGTTCCGGAGATTTTGCGCAGCGGCGTGCTGAGATGGAGCAAGCAGAGAGAGACGAGGCAGTTGGTGGACTCGATGATGACGGCATTCCGCTTATGGCCCCCTACGAACCCTCGATCCACGAAGATGATGATGATGATGACGCCGTTTCTCTTCCTGATGATTCTAGATATTTTGTCTGTGGATGGGGCTACGAGTGCTTACACGAAGCAGAGGATATCGATTTCGAGTTCGTCTACGCGTTACATACCTTCGTCGCGACCGTCGAAGGCCAAGCAAATGCCACCAAAGGTGACACGATGGTCTTGCTGGACGACAGCAACAGCTATTGGTGGCTAGTGCGTGTTGTGAAGGATAGCAGTATCGGTACGCTCCCTGGTTCGTCTCCGATGGAGGCCGTTTCTAACGTGGCTTACTTTAGGCTACCTTCCTGCCGAGCACATTGAGACCCCAACCGAGAGGTTGGCGCGCTTGAATAAGCACAGGAATATTGACGTAGTCGCTCCCTCCATGGAAGAGATGAACCTTTCTGACTTAGATCAGCTTTCTGCCACGATGCTCGGAGATCAGGCTGGAGAGAAGTCCAAGAGCACATTCAAGACCGCTCTGAGGAAGAAAAAGAAGACAGTCGCATTTGCCGCCCCGACCTTTGTCGACTACTCAGACTACGATTACTCTTCGGATGAGGAGGATGCGGACGAGCTCCTCTCTCAACAACAGGGTGCTCAGCAGCAGCAGCAGCAGCAGCAGCAGTCAACAACCCGTCAATCGACAGAGGAGAGCATGGATGACGATACGGCCAAGGTAGAGCCTTTGAAACCTCGGGCAACGAAAGAGGTCAAGGTTGTGGAACCAGCAAAGGCGGAGGAGGCATTTGAAGATGATTCGAAACGTGACAGCGGCGACATCTTTGAGAATCCCGAAGGCCCCAGCCGATCGAGAAACGGCACCGTCAGGAACACCGACTCTTTCTTTAAGGACGAAACGGTCGAGACCAAGAAGATCACGCTTACGCCTAATCTGCTTCGTGACGACAGCGGCTCGCGACCTTCGACTACGGAGAGTGTCCAGGTCAAGCAGAGGCCGAGCCTGGACAAGATTGACAAGGAACTGCAACCGGACAAGAAGGAAGACAAGAAGAAGAAGGACAAGAAGGAGAAGGAGAAGAAGACGAGCACGATCCGGAGTTTCTTCTCGCGTAAGGACAAGAAGAAATCTACCGATGACGACGACGAGTCTTTTGGCAAGCGATCGATGGATATTGTTACGGAATCCCAAGACCGCGAAGAGGAGGAACTCAAGGAGCCGCTGTCACCGAGAGGAGATGGTCCGCAGCGGAACACCACCAGCAAGCTCCATAAGCAACAACCGCGGGTGGAACCTTCGCCTTCAAGGAAGCCAGGAGCCGTCACGCCGCAGAAATCTGCCACCCGGGAACTATCCGAGTTCATTTCGTCAGAAGGACGGCCCAATAATGTCTCGAATGTACCCCCTGCCTCTATGCGTATCGTTGAGGACGACTCGTCAGACGCAGACGTCGCAGCTCAACAGCAACGCATCAAGTCGCCCGATACGACCCGTTCGAGACCGCAAGAAAAGTCGTCGCTGTCCAAGATTATTCCCTCGCGGACTGGCGGTAGCGATAAGCCTCAGAAGGTCACCAAGGCCAAGTCTCGAGTGGAACTGGACGACTTTGACTCTTCCTCTGGCGAGGAGGTGGAGCCCGCTTCCACCGAGCCACCGGTGCAGCAGCTAACCGAGCAGGTTATAAGGGAAGAGAAAACAGCTCGACCCTTGCCTGGAGCATTCCCTGACAGCTACATGAGCACGCGGAGCGGTGCGAGCTCTCAAAGCGATCAGACTGTCGTTCTCGCGCAGCAGCAACCTCCTCAGCCCACTGCTGCAGAACGAGAAAAGGACCGTCTTTCTGAGTCACCTGTGCAAGTTTCCCCCATCACACCGAACAACCCACCTGCACTCATGGTGGATACTTCAAGCCAAGAAGGCCACTCCACATCGCCGTCACCGGAGCTCATCGAGGCTGAGGAAGCGAGCAGACATCGCGCGCAAGATTCAATGACGGCTAGTTCGACCTCAACAGGCGGAAGCACCTCCAGCAGTAGCTGGAACGACACAAAGCTTCGCGCCTTTTTCGATTCGAGCTCGGACATCCGGGACATGCTGGTTGTGGTTTACGACAAGAGCGATGTACCGCCTGCTGGACCGGAACACCCCGTCGCAGGTTCCCTGTTCCGCGAACAAAATGCCAAGTTGGCGGAAATTACAACGGTAAGTACAGATCTTGGGTACAGAAGAAATGTTCACGCTCTGACATGCCATAGCAACTTGACAACATGCTTGGTGACTGGTTAGCACGCAAGCAAAGACTTCGAGGCACTGTATAAGGCCTCATTTACGAGCATCATGTTTTACAGAGAGCGGCTGTGTACAGTACCTTCTTGACTTTTTGTCGGCGTCCTGGTACATGGGGTTGAGAGGAAAACGGGATTGATGGACGACATTGATACGTGGCCGCTGATATGAACCTTAGCGCCATGGATACTTTGCGCGGATTTTGCATTTTTTTTTTCTTGTTGTTCTTTTCTTCAGATGCGTGGACATACCAAGGCTTCGCGGGTGAGGCTCGGCGACTAACCCCCTGCTGGGTGCTATTTTTCTTTCTTTGTTTAGTATTACGACGCTTGTTTGTGCGTCGCGGTATAGGCATGAACACTTTGCATAGTGGCTTCCAAGCCGCTGGAGTATGAGACGCAGCGCTGTCTAATACCACTGGATTGTCTATTTTTGACACTGGACCAGCTGTTTATGCTGTTACTGCAGCTGTGATGCGATGAGTCGAGGTGTAAGGAAGCATCACAAGCGATGCTACATTGTGCTCAATGCTAGGTGAAATGCATGGCATAGCATGTCAGGAAGAAAAGCCTGCTGTCCCAGACTAGTCCACGCCAACGAACCATACGGTTCTGCCCCATATGTAGGCACCAGATGCGATCTGCAGGCATCTGGTGTTGTGGGTTTGGCTTTCCCGCCAACTGCCGTTCGCCGATCGGACGATCTGGGGAAACGCCGGGACCCCGCTTTCCCGCCCGCGCCGACTTCAGTTTCCGCTCCATCCCTCACCACCACCCATTCACGCAAGCCGCTCGTTCGACCCAACAAAACCTCATGTCGGTCATTCTAACGCGAGCTAACCAATCTAATTCGCTCTTAGCAGGCGGTAAAGAACACTCGCAGCTGACGGTTCTCATTTCCTATCGTCAACTGGGCTGGCAATGGGTGGCCCGTGGACGAGCATCTTTGCTCTTATGACGGGCCAATGGGACCCCATTCCTCCTAATTGGAGTGCCTCCTTTTGTGAAGCCCGTTCGTCCGAGTATGAGGTCAACTGGTACCGCTATGTCCGGGCCAGCGAGTCTAGAACGATCCAGCCCGTTAGGGTCGTGTCGGATCTCGCTCGCGGCACTGTGGTAAACCCTTCGGGTCTCGTCACGGGAGAAGGTGGTCCCACAATATTGTCACGTCGAAGAGAACGGGACGAAATTCCTTCTGTTACGGTCGATTTCGGTCAGAACACCGTTGGGATCTTATCGATTTCCTTCGCTGGATCATCGACTTCTGCTTTGCCCAGCGAGGATAAGGACGACGAAATTGACAGAGATACGAACGATGAAAGGCCTGGTATACGACTCGCCTTTTCAGAGACGTTGCGGTTTTTGAGTAATGTCAGCGACTTTTCGCGCTCCTACAACGGCGACACAATCACCCCGGGCAGCGATCAGATCGCAGTTCGGAAAGACCCCTACGTCTGGACTGCAAATCACGGCTGCCAGCACCGCGGTGCCGCCGACGGGAAGGGACAAGTCTGTGCAGACGGTCTGCACGGTTTCCGCTACCTGCGCATCTACCTCGACGCCCTCCCTTCTGACACGCCGTACACCACCCCCCATGGCCGCGTCGAGATCTCCAACCTCTCCCTCGCCCTCTCAGCGTTCCACGGCACTCCCGACACCTTTAACGGGTGGTTCGAGTGCAGCGACGAGGACCTGACGCAGTGGTGGTTCGACGGGGTCTATACTAATGACCTCTGTATCGATACGTTCCGCGCCTCCGAGGATGCGGAGCCGCGGGGCGCGGGGAGCGAGACGCTCGAGGGTAAGATTGTGATTCATGACGCGCCAAAGAGGGATCGGGATCCGTATGTGGGAGATCTGGCGGTGGCGGCGCTGACGGGCTATGTTTCGCATGGAAAGGGAACGGTGAGCGAGGCGAGTGGGAACGTGCTGGCAGATCTGGCGGTGCACCAGAGGGGCGACGGCTGGATTCCGCCGGCGAGCATGTGAGTTTCTTTCTTTCTTTCTTTCTTTCTTTCTTTCTTTCTTTCTTTCTTTCTTTCTTTCTTTCTTTCTTTCTTTCTTTCTTTCTTTCTTTCTTTCTTTCTTTCTTTCTTTCTTTCTTTCTTATAAGCTCTTCCGTAAGGATTTTAAAATGCTGACATTTGTAAGTATGAACTACACGCTCCCCCTATTCGATTACCCCCTCTGGTGGGTTGTCTGCAGCCACGACTACATTTGGTACACGGGCGATTTGGAATACCTCTCGATGTACTACACCAACCTCGTCGCTGTGTTGGACCGCTGGTATCCCTCTGTCACAGACCCAGCGACGGGGCTCGTGACTAAAGGGCTGAACGGGACGGCCGGGTACGGCGACTATGCATTCGTGCCGCGACAGGGGCCGGTAACGTATTACAACGCTCTATACGTGCTCGCACTGCGCCGAGCGGCGGAGATGGCGGTCGAGGCCGAGAATGACGGGGACGCGGAGCGGTGGAGGCGCCGGGCGGACGAGGTTGCAAAGGCGCTGGGGGAAAGAAACTTTGACGAGAAGGCCGGCGCGTTCTGGGACGGAACGAAGGAGGGGAGGTTTATGGACGCGCACGCGCAGGATGGGAACAGCATTGCGATTCTCGCGGACGTGGTGGATAAGGAGAAGGCGAGGGGGGCGCTGGACTACTACTCGCGCGTCGCGGCCAGGCCGTACGGGAACGCGTTCTACGACTCGGACGCTGTGAATGAGGGGTTCAGCCAGAAAGTGTACGCGTTTGTGTCCTACTTTGAGCTCGCGGCGCGGTTCATGGTCGGGACGGGGGATAGCGCCATCGAGGAGATGAAAAGGTTGTACGGTTGGATGTCGCGCCAGGACCCGGGCGTGACATTCTGGGAAGGAATAGGGCCGGAAGGAAAGCCGTACGAGGATGGGTACACGAGCATGGCTCACGGGTGGGCCACAGGGCTGGTGCCGCTGATGAGCGGGTGCGTGCTGGGTGTGAAGCCGACGGAGCCCGGGTTCCGGACGTGGAGCGTCGCGCCGGAAACAGCGGGGCTAAGGTGGGCGCGGGGAGTTGTGCCAACGCCGGAAGGCGGAGGAATTCAGGTTGAGTGGGAGCAAGGCGGCGACGGAGATGTCAGGATCCAGGTGAGAGCGGCAGAGGGCACGAGGGGAGTTGTCAGTGTTCCGGTGGGAGCTCGGGGGAAGGTTGTCGAGCTCGATGGAGAAGTCGTGTATGCTGGGCGAGATGGCATCCGAGCGAGATATAAAGAGGGCAAGGTCTTGGTTGATGTTGAAGGGAAGGGGGCAGACTGTAAGGTTGTGGTTTCTGTCAGGAGAAGACCTGGTAATCTATGGGCTTTTGTTCGGCAAGCGGGATGGATTGCTTGATGTTTCTCATTGTATGACTATCATACAAATCTTTGGGGTAATTACAGTCACCGCTGAATAGGAAGCAGTTGAGCAAGAGATCCAGGGGTTGAATGAACTGATGCCGTTAGACTGTGAACGCGTATGAGGGCCAGCAATAGGAAATACACAACAGCCCCAGGGTGTGAGGCACAAGTATACTGGGCTTATAGCTGCTCAGATGCAGTTAGGAGAAACTAGTTGAATCCTTGAGGGCAGCGCCTTGGTTGAACGACCGCGTGGCTGACGTCCCGGCAACAATAGCACCGTGAACCTACCACAACGGTCTTTTCGCTTATGAAGTGGTAAGCCAAAGTGAAAGTTATTGTAAACAGACAAACACAAGAGGAGACCACAGGCCCCCTTTGCTAGGTACCTACCTTGTGTACCTAAATATGAAAGCGAGACTGTTAGGACTAGCATAGAAGTTAGTATTTGAGTAGTATTGCAAGATGGTTTCCAAAGTGTTGGAGAGTCCCAATCCCCCTCGTCACCGTTCTCGGTATAATGACCGGGCACGGGGACCGAGAGAACACCAGAACCACATACCTATATAGGAGAATTAATTTTGTTTACTTCCTAGGCTCTGAACCCGCGCCTTGATCGCATCGGCTTGATTATTCATTCTGGCGCGAAGCTATATTATCCGTCCTAAAGGCACCGTTTCAACCTCGTCTTCTTCTGGCCATCCAGCAAAACAGCTTGGCACCTCTTGCTCCCTGGCCCGGGCCCCCAGCAACGAAAACCGGTCTTACAGGTAGCGAGGGCCAGACAGTTTGAAAATTGCTTTTCTTGAACAGTGACTCACTTGTGACACTGAACCTGTGCGGCCAGGAGCACCTTCCGGGTGTCTTTGAACCACCCTTGCGGGAAGGTGTATTGTAGACAGTGGCGTATCAAGACTTAAGCGGCAGCAGCACCAACCGACATTCCTTCCATAACAAAACCCTACCCCTTCCTAGGTCTGCCAAAGTCCAAAAGGTCTTCTGGTCAAGCTGGTTAGAGTGTCAATTACTCTGTTTTGGTTCGATTCACCCATGGTCCGAAACAATCAATTAAATCTTGCCATTCATAGCCACCACTGCACATCAATCAACTAAAGTGGCCTAGGATTTCGAGACCCAGTCCCACATGTTGATATCAATATTGACCAATTAAAACAAGCCTATAGAAACTTGGAAAAATATAAATTCAAAGAAATTTCTCCCTACAACAACACTCAACAAGAAATCCCCTCAGAGTTACCACAGCATCTAGTATCATTCATCGCGTGGATGTCAACGAGCTATTATCTTCACCGAGGGGGGGCTTTAATGCCTTGACAATTTTGAGAGAAAATGTCACTTAAATAGGGTCATCTCTATAGTCAGGGAGAAGGAATGAAGCAACAGAGGAAGTCATCTGGCTCCTTCTCGACGTTTGAGGGATCGTGGGTGATTCTACCCCTCAGACCGAAGGGGCCAAGGTTAGACCTTCCTCTTGGGAAGCAGTTACCAGCTTTTCCAGAAAACGGTGATGAAAAATGGGTCTTGAGAGCGGCGGCTCTGAAGGGTTGCATTAGACTCTGACCAGAATTCTGAGTTTTCAATGTTTGATTGAACGCGCGTTGTGTTGAACGTCAAAAGAACACCTTTTCATCTGTGCAGCAAACTTAACTACTAATCTAGCCCTTATTAGCTTATCTATAGGAGAGCGGACCGGATCCTGAGTTTTCTAATGGGTATGGTTGTATGTGGAAGTCTGTTGAGGTGAAGTTAACTGTATCGGACTGTTTTGGCGACAACTGCATGTGGATGGGCGGTGGTACTTACCTGCTCTCTTCCAATCTGGAAATGAGATAGCTTTTCAACGGGACAGCTGTAAAATCTTCAATGGAATGGATATAAGGTCTGACAACCTCTCAGCGACAATGGGTATTGAAACGATATGATGCTTTGCTTACCGCTTAGCATACAATATCAGTTCGGAATTCATAACTCAATTGTTGTCGTACACAGAACTCTGATCAAAATTAGATTAATATTAAATCGGTACACCTGATCGTGATAAAAGAACGATTCTTGTGAGAATCAATAGACCCTAACCACCCTTCATGTACTGCCTGACCAGTCATCAATCAACATGACACATATCAGTACTATTAACTAATACCATCATATTATTGCAAAATATTGCGAACCTGTTTGCTTAGTTGCAGCTTAATTACCATAAGCTCAACCGCTAGCAGTACCTTAGGGTGTCCTAGACGGCCATTACCGAAGCCAGGGAGCCACCAGTTATATCGGAATCTCAAAAGGTGGCATCAGGTGTGACTCCAATGGCAAGCACGGAGTCCAGCTTAGATTTCAAGTTGCGGATGCGATCAGCAATGCTATTGACATTGTCGATACTATTGGCCACAGCGTCAATGAGAGTCTTGGCCGTGGCTGCAACGGTGGTGAGGGTAATTTCAAGAGCAAGCTTTGCCTGGGTGAAGGCAAGTGAGTAAGCCGCCTTGCCAGTAACATCGATCACGGCATCTGTCTGGGTCTGAAGCGACTGGAGCTGGGAGGTGGCGGTTCTTGCCAGGGCCTGAGCCTGACGGACGACCTACACGGATTACACGTCAATGATTTGGCCATGTGGAGTTCTAAATGAGTATACACTTACGTCTTGGGCAACTTGCAACACCTCGGCGGTGGGAGTGGCGGGTGAGGCGCCTGTGCCAGTGGGAGCAGGGACACCGGAGGGGACTATACCCTGAAGGTTACCGATGATGTAACCGACTCTAGTGCGGATGCTGTTGGTGTTGCTGGTCACTTGGCGGATGACAGCATTGACCTGATCAGTCCTCTGTCGACTGTTATTTAGTACGCTGTGAACTGAGCGAGGTGTTTCCAGACTGGAAATTGCTGTCTTACATCCTTAACGGTCGTGCCGGGGGTACGAGTAAGGTCGGACACGAGTGTTGTTGTCTTGAGAAGATCGTTACGGAAGATGTTGAGAGCTGTATATTCAGGATCGAACAGGTCAGGGGGGTTGTAGACGACTTCGGGGACAACGATGTTGCCTGGAGAAAGGGTGGCTCTCGGAAGGATCGCAGCATCAACCGAGGTCAGGGAAAGGACGGTGAGGATGGCGGGAAGGATCTTGGCTTGCATTTTGACGGATTGTTCAGCGGAACGTTGATATGTTAAGAAAGAAAATATGACGGCAATATAGGTTTGATGGTAGTATTATATTGCGAGGAGTGAAGGAAATCAAAATAATGATCAGAAGTATCGAAGATCATTATATGCAGCGCAAGGCTGGTTGGATGACGAGCTGGACAGGTGTCTTCCTGTGCCTTCGTGTATAGAAGCCATATCCGGATACAAGACTTGTTTGCCATGCAAAGTCAACTGAAGTTAACTTCAGCTGTTAAGTTAGACTTAAGTTATTAATGTTTTGGTCATGTCTGCATTCATGCAAGCCTCTACTTGATCAAGAACGGAATCGAGATACTCCAAGTGGCCGAGGCGATGTTCGAATATCTTCCACGCGGAGTTAGAGTGGAAAGCAATTAACACTAGGACCATGCTGGTCTCCATACAGGAAAGGAAGCATCAAGCATCACACTATAAACAGTTAGAAATCAACACTGCCAAGGCCCAACACAGTAAGACATTGCTGGAAACATCGACATGCTATTCTTCGGGCAAGATGACTAATGTACAGTTTGGAGGGGATACTTACAGAATAGTTTGCCCAGAAAGTAAAGCTCTTTTTCTTACGGAATCACCATCGAGATGCTTTCAGTTCCACGTGGGTCAAGAATCCGAAATCAATGAGCCTTCGCCGTAACCTGCTACCAGAACTCGTAAGGACATTCACCATGTACAACGTTGTATGTGTTAGCCCATCTGCGCTGTGCGTGCTATACCATACTAGCCAGACTACTGATCGCTACTGTGGGCATAAAATTGGACTAATCTAAAAGAAGTCATGAGAAAATTCTGATGTGTTCGGTAACGACCGGAGGGACACCAAGCGAGATGGCGGACTGCGATGTTGAGACAGTAGGCTTGATCGTTACTCAATGGCTGCCGGCTTTGTAGTAAGACGGCTCTTGTTGGGTCAAGAGAAGCCGTAGCTTGGTTTACTCTTTTTCCTAGTACAAAATTTTAGGTAGTCTTCACCTCGTAGCATACAGGAACTCGGAGAGTCATGTCACACTTTCCCTGGCTTAAGCTTAGGCGTGATTGACTTTTGTCTTCCGCTTCGTGATTGGGGTGATCTAGCGATGATCCCTTCGGTAATTTGTGTCTTCACTGATGAAGTATGTGACATGATGCAATACACAGCTACGAGACCATCACCATGCCCGGACTTTGAGAATGTCTGGTGGTATCACACTGCTATACAGGGGAAGATCGTTGCCATCCAAAAATATGTCTTAGGAGTTAGCATGGACCTTCATTAATACTTAATGCTATCCATATGAAAGCCTTGTCTCACATCCGAATGTGTACGTTTTCGGATTAGCAACCATAGTTATGAAAAGCTTATTGCGGCAAGCCGCCCCCGATTTCCGATCTGTGGCGAACGGCATTCGGCCCGGTCCGGTAGAACTTGAATGTTTAGGGTGGTTGATATGGCCAGTGCAACCATGGATTACTATATTGTTTGCAGCGAAGAGGGAAGCCGTTGTGGTGCGAGTCTCATGCAAATCTTATTGCGGGTGAGCATCCTAGTTCCATGACGTCCGGACCGTATACATCACTGCTCCTGTATGGAATGACATCTTGATGACCTTCGACACGGTTGAGTTGGTATGCAACGGTAAAGCTTCCATCAGGCGCAGCCGTAATGATAAGACTTGAAGTTCAATGCCTTTGCGACTCCATGAGAAAGCCGCACCAAGCCAGTGATTCGCCCACGATGAAGACGTCGATGGCGTTACAGAAAGAAGCGGGCAGATGTTGTAGGAAGATTTGGAAAGCAACTTACTCGTGATGATACCAAAACGCACAACGATAGTATTAATATACTGCAATATTTTTCTTGCACAGCATTACTTGATGATCCAACCTGTGATACTGGCAGGATTGTCATGGCGTCCCCGATGTCTTCTGTAGTATAAAATAAGAGAACCAGACTTCATACCAGACACGCCACTGCTCTTTGCGTTTTGAGAGTATACCAGTCCAATGACCTAGCCAGCCTGGCTTTTTATCTGGGTCACTCGACAATTCATCAGGCCGTATGGTCGATACACCCTTTGCCACCAAGTCCTTCAACAACCATACATTTCGCTGAAGTATGCTCCGTGTTAATTCACCAAGTGGAATCAGAAAATCCGATGTTGGATCTTCAGTTCAATTCCAACATGATTGAAGAGAGCTACCAACCTCAATCTGCCGATAAGATTGCCTGATACGACTCGAAATGCACTTGGGTAGTCCGTACCAATTGGCATTGTCTGTGGGCACATTCGTGACCGGCAGTCAATACGTGGTATCCCTGAGACGAAGACCTAAGCAGGGTGCGGTATTAGTTGCTGCTTTCGAAGTGTCCATCAAATACCGGCCGGCTCCTTGCTGCAGTCAAAATAGACATAAGATAATCGCCTCTAAATATGCCAGAAGTCTGTGGAGAGCCCAAGCCATAAGACGAAACGATATGATTCGATGTATATGCTTCCATGAGATAAATAAATTACTGTCGAGAAATCAGAAGGGCAAGTTCGGGCTGTGGATGGCAATCAGCTCGGTGGGGAGCGCATGGTCTCAACGCACTAGTACTGAGACATCTACCAGCCGTACTGTGGCTGATTTTGAACCGAGTTACTAAACTGATACCTCTGCAAATGACTCAGGTAATACCATGGGAGAGGCAGCCCAAGACCATATCCGCCTCGTGGGTTGTGGATATCCGCATTCAGGCTGTAGTGAGTACAGCGGACGACTCTTGTTTGCCGTTTAATATGCATGTGAAACCATACCTGGTTACCGGCTGTTCAACCTTCTTTGGACAAATGGTGCCTTCCTCGCCAGGTGCGGTGGACTAAGGACGCAAGCGCGGCATGCGGCGATAAGAGCAGTGGTGGACAGGGCAGAAGCATCACGTCGAAGTATGGGTACGGTTTTGCCGAACAATTTGATGGCCCTAAGCAGAGGGGAGAGCTGTGGTCCGGATCAGTGCTCGTATGTCCAATTGCAACACTTGGCGCCCAATAGTGATGCTTGTGAGAAGCTGAATAACGCTGCAAGGAAAAAACGATGTCAAGGAAAGAGGGAGGGGAGGTCAGACCAATCTCCGATCCTTTGCACCTTAGCGAGCTCGCCGCACGTCATTTCCCGTTACCTCAATTCGGCGGATCCTCCCGCAGCCACAGTCGACTGAGGTACGTATCTAAGGCGGTCCCTCTTAAGGTCGCTTAGGTACACAATAATACCTACTCTACTCCGTAATACAGTCGGAGAACATAATATAGTACCTCGTAGGTAAGTAGCGATGATCGAATATCTGAGCCCGAGTGAGACCAAATGTGAATCGGGTCCTTCCACTAACCAACCACCGATGCTCCCTTGCTCACGCGCGGCGCCCTCCATCAATAACTACCAAAAACGACTGCGCCCCAGCCACAACATGCAGACACATCACCCGCTGCTCAGCCACGCCCTACGTCACCTTTCCTCGCAACGAGCTCTTGGCATACAACACCACTGCCATGGAGAGCAAGCGAGAACCTACCAGCCAAGTTTAAGGACCTTGTGCCATTGGATCATAAGAAAGGTTGGGGAAAAGCAAAGCGAAGGGACGTCTGCTGGCTCGTTGTTATTACCTTGTTGAACCAAACCCCCGGTGGTAACCTCTTTCTGTCACCGCTACTGCACCAGCACGTACGGTATATAACACACAACACCCCATCCACCTTAGACTCTGCCCAGTCCTTCCAAGTTGTTATCCAAGTCATCACAAAACAACAAGCTTCGTCACCTAGGTATCAATTGATCATATATCCTAATGTAAGCTCAACACCCACTCCTACTCCACATTCCAGCTTTCGGCGCCTTTGAAACTTTCGCAACATCCGAATCTTGTGCTGACGTTGCCTCTAGCAAACCCCACAAACCATCAAAACGAAACCATGCCCTTCTTCTATTCCAAGCCCATCGGCGGCCGCAACTTCGGCACCAGCGTCCATGCAGACCGTCATGGCGTTCGTCGTGGTCCTTGGCGCTTCCGCATCGGCCGCTTCCAATGCTTCAGATAGGCGAGGCGCTTTTCCTACCAGGGCCGAGCTGGTGGGTGCGACGACGGGGGAATCATCGCTCAGTCGGCGCAGGCGTGAAGGGCGTCCTCCTTGTCTCACCGATCGCTTCCACAAGCCCCAATAACAACATTTCCATTGCGTTTTTGTTAAGCGAGATCACGGGATACCAAGGCGTTTTTATTTGCGATTCGGGGATGGAAAAGCGAGCGTTTCCTATCTGTCCGTGCCTGTCCTTATGGGGGGTTCCCTGCATCGCTACGCACGAGAGAGAGGGTTGAGATGTGGTACGGAGGAAATGAGTGCATGATGAAACAACTCACCTAGATAATACACAATTTTCACGTAAATACCAAGTTGATGGCTACTGTGATAACCAGGAGATCAATGATGTTTCTGCGTCGTCGTTGACTCATTTCTAGCAGAATATAATCTGGCCAAGGTAGAGACGATACCAATATTCATAGCGTTTCTACAGAATTTCTCGCGTTGCGGATGAGTGTCGTAACATGTCTCGATTGGTAGCCAGAACAGTAAAACGTCCGCCCTTAATGTCACATTCACGTTGTAGGTAAGTTGCTCGAATGGCAGGTAACGATGGGGACTCGGTATATGAAGGGACGTGATGCCGTCGTACAGACCAGATGGTATTGACCAAAGTTGACAGGAACCGCAAGGACTAACGCTGGATAGTTCCTTGATGCAGACGTATCATCTCAAGATGCTCTTCTAGCAATGCTGGTCTGAGATCTTATGGGCAAGCGCGTTGTTTAGTACATGGCATTGTCAATGTCTTTCACTTATGCACGGGAGGGTGACGACGAGTAACAGGGCCAAAGGGGTTGGTGATATTCTCGAATTGCCGAGCATATGAAGGATTCTGTTTTTCCCTGCCCCCCATCCAACGCCATTTTTGTGTCTTTGTCAATATCAGACGTAAGTAATGAGAACACGCCCTGAAAAGAACATCAAGTCGTTGAATTTTTGGGTTGTGGCTGCGGTTGTGTTTTGTTTTTTGTATTTCCTAGCACAACGGTACGAGCCATGCCAAGCCGCAGCCCTGAATCATCGCCGCAGCAGAAACCGTATTCCGATGCATTCCCGTTCCCTGTATATGAGAGAGCACAACGCAAGTGACCGGCCAAAACCATTGACCCCCTTCGCCCCGAATAGCTGATTCCACGCCACCATTCCTGGCTTTGTTTGCTTAGACCTCGGTGGTGACCTTGGCCTTGGGGTTCGTGACCTTGACACCAAGCTGCTTCGCGCGGGAGATGATGTCGATACGCTTTCTCGAGGAGACGTTGTGGGCAATCCTACAACGGGTTGTTAGTTATTTGGCCAGGATCATCGACATCCCATGGCTTAATATTGTGAAGCAAGCGCGATATGGAATGGGCAGGGGGTGTACGCACTCGGCAGCGTAGGTGCGGTTGTGCATCAGCAGTAGGTTGACGTCGTTGACGTTGCTGACGAGGAAAGCCTTGTGGCCGGAGGGCATCATGTACTTGGTCTTCTTGTTGGAACCAAAGCCGATCTGTGGTACGTAAACTTGGGTCAGCGGTTGTTCATCCTCGAGAATCCCTCTGTCTATAGTCGTCTGCCACTAACAAATCCCTCCTCTTTATGATAGTCTGGAACCAGCAGGAAGGAGTTCCACGTACCGAGGGCATTTGGGTGTTGCCCCTGAAGCGACGGCGGACACGGTTGTCAATACCCTTGGGTTTGCGCCATGATCGGTCAACGCGCATGAAGCGGTCCGACTGGTGGCGGTTGAAGAGCTTCGTGCCTATACAAAATCACACCCGTCAATCCTCTTGATCATAAAACCCAAGCATCGTTCATCGGTGGTTTTGTATCGTCATTGTGGTTGTCGGGAGCGCGGGGTCGTAGAGGGGTGGTCGAGGTGTGAAGGCTGATTGATGGGAGGGAAAAAAAACATACGCTTCTTCACGATAGGAACGTGCTTCTTTGCGGCGACCATCTTTACAGAAATCTAAGTCAGCAATCAATCCAGAGAACGACAATAAGTCGATCGTGACGGCGGCGGCGGTTGAATCTCACCTTGACGGCTGTTCTGGCTGTCGGTTAGTGGGCGGTTGTTCGTCGTCGGTGTCGAGACAAGATAAAATTTGAAGATTTTCACTGATGAAGTTGTGTGGGAAGGAGCCACAGGGCTTTGGCAGTCACGTGGGGCCAGCCGAAAAGCCAAGGACCCCGCTGTCCATTCAGGGGCGCTAGCGGTCTAGGTGTTAGGTGTGTGCTGCTGGAGCCTTTTGGATTTGGAGCCAATAAGACGGGCCGAGGGATAAAAAAGAGTCGGACCACCGGCCCACTCTGTGCCTCACTGCACAAGGCGCTCCCGGCCCCAGCCCCGGCCCCGACGTTTTCGACGAAGCAAAAGGTCATCTAACCTGTATCGGCGAATAGCAAAAACATGTTTTCCCACACCGAGGTTCGAACTCGGGACTCTCCGGGTCTCAAAGGAGGCATGAAAGCGGAGTATACTAACCACTATACTATATGGGATTGCAGTATGCGATTGTTAATCGTTGAGGTTGCTAGCTTAGGTTCTCAGTCTTGGACGAAACAGCACGGCGTCAAACGATCAAGGTCCCTTCCAACCGCCTCTGTTGAATGAGTCACTATTGTTATTTCCTTGGCGGCACTTGGACTGACAAGTGATAATCCTCGGCCATAACGAACGGTTTCATTCAGGACGACAAACATCCCTTTGCTTGATGCAGTGATATGTCAGGCCTGGCGTCATCTGCTTGCTTGGCACGAGGAGTCAAGTGGGAAGCATTAGAAGCCGTTGATCTTGTTACCGTGCCATGATCGTTTATGTTGGCTGCTCAAGTTCTTGAAAACTGAGAAGCGACGTGGCCTCATTCGTGGGCTGCCTTTCATTTATGAGCGGGATGATGCCCAACCTAACAAACAAAACTCCTCTCTGATCCCTGTCTATGGTCACCCTACACCGTCCCGGTCGTCATGTCTGTCGTAAGGTTCAGGGCGTCAAGCCCAAAGACTCTGTCCTCTAAAATCCTTTATCACCCTAGCGTCTTCTTACTGGGGCTGGCACTGGGGCTGGCCGTCATCCTCTTCCTCGTCCTCCCATTCGCCACCGAACCGCGGGTCGCCAGAGTTGGCTCCCATCTATAGGCAAGTGTTAGTGCCAGCCAAAATTGCGTGTTTTTCAGAGAAAATGTCGGAAACTCACCGAGTCCAGGCTATCCACCTCCTCGTATTCGACCTCGTCAACCTCGTCGGCCTCGATTGCTGGAGGCGGGGGCGGGAGGAGCTTGTTCAGAGCGTCGTACTCCTTGTCGTCCTTCAGCCAGCCATCCTCGGGGAATTCGACATTGACAATTAGGTACAAGTCACCCTTGGTATCTCCGCGCTTGTGAGGCATACCCTCGCCAGGGACCTTGAGAATGTCGCCGGGGCGAAGGATCTTGCCGCGCGGTCTCTCGATGTGAATGCCGCGACCGTCGAGGTGCGTCAAGACAGTCCGGGAGAAGCCACCCAGAGCCTCGGCAAGGGTAACGTTCAGCTCGGCAGACAAGTCATTGCCAATGCGGGTGAATTCGTCGTGGGGCTCCTCGGCCAGATGGAAGACAATGTCTCCAGGTGTCTGGTCAGGGAGCTGGTCTGCCTCACCCTCCAAGACGATCCTCTCGCCGTTCTGAGAGCCTCTGGGGATGTAGATCTCGAGAACCTTGGTCTCCGACGTCGTACGCTTGCCCTTGCACTTCTTGCAGCGGTCCTTCTCTTTGTAAAAGTTGCCGGATCCCTCGCAACGGTCGCAAATGACAGTCTCCTTGCGCACCAGACCTGGACCGACTTGGCGGAAGGCGTCGGTCATACCGGCGCCCCGGCACTTCTCGCACTGTTGGGGCTTGACGTTCGCCTTGGCGCCGGATCCCTTGCAGGTGCCGCAGACGACCTGCTTGTTCGCGGAGAACTTGACGGTCTTGCCCTTGTACAACTCCTCGAGCGTGACCTTGTAGGGCTGGTCCTCATCGGGGCCACGACGGGGTCTTCTGGGGCCGCCGCCAGGACCTCCAGGGCCGCCCATGCCCATGCCAAACATTTGTGACAAGATATCGTTCAGGTCGACTTCGACGCCACCGGGACCGCCGGGGCCGCCCCGCGAGGGGTCGAAGGCAGCCATGCCATGGGTGTCGTAGAGGTGGCGCTTGTCCTCATCCTTGAGGATTTCGTAAGCCTGGCTGACAGCCTTGAACTTGGCTTCCGATTCTTCTCTGCGGTCCTCAGGGACTTTGTCAGGGTGGTGAAGAAGAGCAGCCTGAATGGGGAAGATGACGAGTCAGTACAGGGTGTTGTTGCGTGCGATGCCGTCGACGGTGTTGCCGCAACCGCGGGGGGTATCACGAACCTTGCGGTATGCCTTCTTGATCTGATCCTGCGAAGCATCCTTATCGATCCCAAGGAGCTCTGGAAGAATGCGTCAGATGTGATCCACAGCGAGAAACTCAAGTACCCTCCCTAGGCTCCATCAGCAGAGACTTACCGTAGAGATCAATGTCTTCCTCCCCCGACATGTCGGGACCGGCGCTCGGTCCACCACTGTCCATGCTTGAGGCTTCTCGAAGGGTACTCGGGCTGAAAATTCGCTCGAGATTCGACCTTCAAGGCGTGTTTGGGGGATGTGAAAGTGGTGGGATGTGGAGTAGTCCTGAAAATATTTTGTCTGGAGTACCTGTCGCGGCGGCTCTTTGTTTGGCGGGGTACGTGTACATGCAGTGCCTTACGGGGCGTGAGGTCCCTTACGGCTGTCCTCGGAGTGCGTGGTGGGTATCAGGTAATCAATCTGGGTACCACGTTCTGTGGCCCGCCAAGCTATCCACTCCCCTGCACTTGTTCATCAGCATGGAGTGCCCAGCCACTATTCGACATACCCCATTTGTTGTATACTCATTTATCCTGGCGATTGTAGAAGCCTTGGTTGGGTTTGCAGTAAATTTCCTTGCCAGCGTCAAGGCATGCTACAGCCAACTAGTTGCACGGCCGTTCGGTGCTCTGTTCCAGACACGAGTTTATTTCGTTGTCGCGCCCACTTTCCCAAGCAAAGAAGACGCTCGATGGCCATTGATGACGAGGCTGCTGGGGCACCGAGCTCAAGTTCGAAAAGCATTCTAGATACTGAACCTTCTTCCAATTTAGCTACAATGACCCGAGTCTTCTGACAAGATCTTGGACATGCTGTTCAGATTCCATCGGTGTCATCCGAGCTCGCCTCCAACAGAGCGGTCGGACGACATGGCACTGTTTCCTATATCAACAACTGGACGTACGGTCGAGGCGCCAGTCAGCAGTCTCTTCCGTACAGCCTCTATCTCCTCGTATCTGCGACGCACGGAGCCCGAAAAGTGCTAGAAATGCATCTTGACGGCTATGGGTCGGTCTGCCAGGCCGGCATTGAGCGATGCACTGCCATGCGCTTGTAAGCCAGTACATGTGAAATACCTCGCTTGAGGCATGATGGCTGCGCCACACGTGGCTGAAGCTCATCGACAAATTTCATACCCAAATCAGTCCTTTCATTAACGACAACGGCACTTTGGCGACATTACAGCGTCGTAATAAATGTCTATGAGATGTCGACGATAGCCCTGAGACAGCAGGGTAGGCCCGTTTTCCAGCGCTCGCTTCATGCATGCGGCTGGTGCCGAAGCGCGGGCACCCCAAGATGGCACTCGTCGTCTGTGAAGGGCGGTTTCCAAGCGCTGAGGAAGAAGTTGCCGCCGCTGGCCGACAAGAGGCTTCGCGAACTGCCTGACAAGCCGGCCAGGACGCGCTTCGCCCCTTCGCCTACCGGATACCTCCACCTAGGGTCTTTGAGGACTGCTCTTTTCAACTGGCTCATTGCACGGGCTACTGGCGGGCAGTTCATCATTCGGGTTGAAGACACGGACCGGGTGAGTCGAGACTCGACGCTTCGGGTAGACGCTAAAAACTAACATACCCAAAAGACACGTATCGTCGATGGTGCCGTCGAGCGTCTACTCACAGACCTCAAATGGGCTGAGCTGAACTGGGACGAAGGCCCCGACGTCGGCGGGCCCTACGGACCCTACGAACAAGTAAACCCCCTATTCATCGCCCCTATCGTCGTCAGACCACTTCTCTAAACTCGCCGCAGTCAAAACGCCTGGACTACTACAAGCAGTACACCGCCAAGCTCCTCGACGAGGGCAAGGCCTACCGCTGCTTTTGCACGGCGCACGACCTCGAGCGTCACAAGCAGCAGGTCCTCGACGACGGCGGCGGTTCCGCGCACTACCCAGGGACGTGCCGCGGCATACCGCCGTCCCAGGCCGAACGCCGTGCCGCCAACGGCGAGAAGCACGTCGTACGATTCCGGAGCGAGGGCCGCCCGTCCTTCGTCGACCGGGTCTACGGCAACTACCAGAAGAACGAAGACGAGGACGACTTCATCCTCGTCAAGAGTGACGGGTACCCGACCTACCACTTCGCCAATGTGATCGACGATCACCTCATGGAGATTACTCACGTCATCCGCGGTGCTGTTCGTCACCCTTCATTCTTGCCCCCCTCTCTTCTACGCGTATCCCTGAGCAAAGCTTACACTGACACAGGAATGGCTCATCTCGACGCCCAAGCACATCGCCCTCTACGACGCCTTCAAGTGGGAACCCCCGACTTTCGCCCACGCCGGCCTGCTCTGCGCCCAGAACGGCGAGAAGCTCAGCAAGCGCAACCACGATATCGACATCTCATCTTACCGCGACAAGGGCATCCTCCCCTCCGCGCTCAACAACTGGCTCGCGCTGCTGGGCTGGAGCATGAACGAGAAGGACCTCGCCAAGGGCGGCGAGGTGTTCTACACAACAAACGAGCTCGCTGAAAAAGTATGTGTTAGCGTCTTCCGCGTCTCCGATCAGGCGACGAAGAAACTCTGATCGGCTTTTCACTTACATCATGTTACAGTTCTCCCTCAGGTTCACAAAGGGCAACATCAAGACAAACCCGGACAAACTCGCCGTCTTCCAACGCAAGCACCTCACCCATCGCCTGCGCGAGGAGAACGCCGACGAGGAACTTCTCAAGCAAGCTCTCCTCCCGCCCACTACCAGTCTCCTCTCCCGCATCTCATCTCTCCTCCCCTCATCTGTCACGGAACCTTCCACCTCTCCCGGAGGTGCCTCGCCCACCAAGGACGCATCGACAACCGCTGCGCCCGAGATCCTCACCTCCCCGACCAACTCAAGACACTTCTTCTCAACGGCAGACTTCACCTCACTCACCCCGCTCCTCTCCACTCCAGCCACAGCCCCCGCCCACCTCCTCCAGATCTACCGCACCCTCGCCGCCGACTCCCCTGTCGACCCCCTGGACCTGGTCCACGAGCATCCATCCCTCTTCCTCCGCCCATCGGCGCACGCCTACGCCCGCTCCCTCGAGAACCTCTCCCTCGCGGACACCATGGCCCCGCCCCCGGTCCTCCTCGCGGACCTGCACGCCTCCCTCCGTGACGTCCATGAGCTCGACTGGGCCCCAGATAGGCTGCAGTCTGTCATTAACGACTTCTCCGCGCGCCATGCCGCCTGCGTCGACCCGGAGAGACCCGCCAGGCCGATCAATAAGGCGACGTATGCGCTGCTGCGGCTCGTCCTTACGGGCGACCACAACCGCGGCGCCAAGCCTGCCAAGTTGCAGCTCGCGTTACTGGGGCGCGCGGAGACCTTGACGAGGTTCGAGCTCTGTGCCGAACAGTGAGATGAAGGACGTTTGGTGTCAAGCGGCTGTGAGCGGGGAAAGACGGCTGTGCTCTGTCCTCCTTCCCCCCCAGTGCTCTCCCACTCGTTGGCTCTCGTAACCTCTACGTGGCTTCCCGGCATGCAACAAGCATAGTGCTGGTCTCCCCGTCCTGTCAGAGGCGCCAAAATTGAGCGCGGGGGAAGGGGGAAGCAGCGGCTGTCCGAGGGGTTGTCCGAAGGAACACACGATGTTGCTGTCTGGTTTGACTTGCCGCAGGAGCAAGTCGGCGGCGTATAATATTGTATGAATAAACTCTCTCTTTCTCCCTGTGTGGGTGTGTATTATAGTGCCCGGACAGCGCGTTTCGCCTGGAGTAATACTATGCCATCTGCCCCAGAATTTAAGACTTGGTCATGTCAAGAGAACCTTCCCGTATTGAGACTGTCTGTGTGCCAAGAAACCTGACACAAGTCGACAGATTAGGTCGAAACCGCCATATACTCACCCCATATTTACGCAATCACCAATCGCATTGCCCCGTAATGAACAAAGCGGCAATGCGCCGAAACACAAAAGGCACACAACTCTACGCGGGTAGGATTCCATTTGTCCTGCTGATTCAATCTGCACTAACACAACCCTAAGCATCCCTATGGTGCTTGACCGATCCGTTCTTTGGCTGCCTTCACTTCCTATGGCCTCACAAAAGCCCCATATTCATATACACACATATACACATGAGACGGCAGGGGCAATGCTGTATGGGTCTAGGTGCATTAAGATTGTTTGGTATTGCGCCCTTCGCAAAGACGAGTTTGTAGATGACAGACGGGCGCAGAAACAAGAAAAGACATGATAAATCGAAACGGAAATTACGATGACGGACCAAAAAGAGAAAGAGAGAGAAAGAGAGAAGGGAAGGTTGGGAAAAGGTAAAGGGGAATACGAAAAACGTAATCGCCGAAGCCAACCGCCTCTCAGGGCTCGTGTTCCGTCTTCTAAACAATGCAGCGCTATGATCGTGGGTCGTCTGCGGCTGTTGGGTGGTGTGCCATCGAGCCAGCTCTGTCTGGCTCTTTCTTTCTTAAGCTGCTATCCATCCTCCTCTGGTTTCCCCTTAATTCACATCCCACAGTTTTATACGCCCTTTGTCTACAACCGATCCTTCTGAAAATGCAACAAATGGTGACGATAATAAAAGGTGTACTAGATGAAGAAGGAAAGGTTGCAGGCCCAGAGCGAGCAGGTTATTGGTCATTACATCGTCAAAGGCTTGGTTGGGGTATAATCGTCTACATAATTTCTTGAACCCAGATCTGTGATACAGAGTTAGAGACGTTGATGAACTGACACGAGCGGAATCCGATTGTGACTTACCTCCATTTTGCCAATTTCTTGCCTTGCCTTCCTGGCTTGGCTCTTCACGCTCATGAGAGCCATATCCAAATCATCTTGATCGCCCATGGTGATCATATCGCCATTTGGCACGTCGTCGTCGCGAATCTTGATCTTGAATCTCCGGCGGAGACCGAACTTCTCGCGGATCCGATCGACAAAGTCAGGGAACTCGACCGCTCCGCCGACCATGATGTACCGCACATCTTCGGCATGGACCTTGACACGAATCTTGCGGACTTCGGGTCTTCTTGAACCGCCACGAGAGGACATTGAGTTTGTGCCCGGGCGTCTGTTGGACACCATTTCGAAGTCGCCCTCATCGAAGGAGCCATAATCGGAACCGTCCTCCTCTTCGTCCATGTACCGTTGCGGCGGTCCACGGCGGGAGAGTTGTCGGCTCGGTCTTGTGCCGTTGCCATTCTGGTACATATCGTACAGTTCATCGGGGTACGCATCTTCCGGCTCCTCATCGGCCGACCGTCCACGCATCTGAAGGTCGCGTCTAGAGTATCCTCTACTAGGCGTAGCGGACCGCGACTCAGATCTCATCACGGGCGGAGGTCCTCTCCGGTCGTTAGGGCTACTTGTCTTCTGGTATCGCTCGTTAGGTCGTGAGTTTTCAATGTTCAGCTTGGCAAGCATCGGCTTGGGCCCGTTGCGAACAGACTGTCCACGAGTCATGGTGGCGCCATTGTTGGCCTCGACCTGGTCAGGTGGGGGCGTGGGAGGAAAGACGCCGCGGCCGTTGGGCGGCTCGGATTGCTGTCTTCTGGATGCCAAACCGGGTTTGACTAGATTGGTGGCGGCGAAGGAGATGTTATCACTGGGTCTGTCATCCTTGACGTCGTTCTTGCCGGCCTGGAAACCAAGAAGTCTCTGATTAGCAAATTGATTCCCATAGAAGCTGATTGGGATGGGAACCGATCCGCCTACATTCTTGATCTCGGACCCAGCAAAGCCTGTGAAAGCATTCGAGCGGTCGGAGGCGGCGACTAGCCTGGCCTTGCCGAGATAATCCTTTGTCTTCAGGTTGCGAACCTTTGCTTCGTTCGGTCGGTAGACGACGCCAACGGGAATCGAGAAGACGGTGTATCCCTGGTATCGTTGTTAGGCCTGCTGGGGATGATGAACGCAACAATTCTTACCTCTGCCTCTTCCCGGATCGCCTCGTCAATCACGTTATGGTCTTCCACGACCTTCTCCTTGACAGCGTATGTCAGATCCTGCAAGCCAGCATCCTTTTGTTGCAGATAGATGTAGCAAAGACCTCTGTTGAAGAGGACTTCGCAAGAGTAGAGTTTGAAGAGCAGCCCCAGTTGGGCGTAGTCGATCATTGTGTTTCCGCGAAGGTAGAGAAGAGTGTCGTTGAAATTGGCGAGCGCCTCCTCGAAGTCGCCAAGGAGGAAATTTGAGACGCCCTGCTGGAAGTAGGCGACAGCCAAGTACTGGTCAAGCTTAATGGCTCGCTGGTAGCATTCAACCTAGTTTGAAATCAGCACGAAAGCTCTCAGGACACCGGGTGAGGCGTGACGTACAGCCTTCTCATGCTCTCCTAATGTGGCATGAATGACACCCATGTTGAAGAGAATTTTGGACGTGTCGGAGATTTTCTCGAAATCCTTGAGGGCCTCATCGAACTCATTGTTGTCGTATTTGCCCAAGGCCGACACCCAGGTTTCTATTTCCTGTAGCGAGAAGCTGTCAGCAAACACGTCGACGTCGAAAGCGCGTGGCTCGGGTCTGTCAAGAGCGGACTTGTTCCTCGGCAAAGCACGTACCTGTTTCAACGACATTGTGTCACCGGGCTGGAATTATCAATAGGGAAGAGAGCCGAAAAAAGGCGTGATCGTGAAAATGTTGCGCAAGCAGACCGTCGCTGCTGCGATCGAAAAAGCGGCAACGGGTATTGTGGAGATGGTATGCGGTGCAGTGGGCGTGGAACGACGACGAAAGCCAAAAGAGGGATGCGAACCGGAACAGCGACAACAAAGTGCGCTGCGGGCGGCTAGGGAGGGTCCCCCAGGGCTTATTTAGGGAGATGGCTGGCGGTCTGTCGGTCGTGCGGTGTTCGGCGCCACTGAAATGACGGTTGGAGTCCTTACCCCCGCTTCCAATAGAACCAGAGCCTGAAATGGATGCACTTCGGACCTCAGCGACAAGCTGGAGATCTTGGCGCGTGGCGGGTACACCAGGGATCGATACTTGGCCCCGTCTGACGGTAGCCAAAATCTTGTGCAGAAAAAGGCAATGCAACGGCGGGGAGAAGATGCCTCTTTGAGAAAGAGGGTTCGCCCAATGGTAAGATAGTTAGAGTCTGTTACTCCTGGTTAAGGTTGCCTTTTCTTCTTCTCTTGCGTTCCTGTCCAGCAGAAGTAGATGCCAAAAAGGAGGACGGTGTTTCGGGTTTGTGTGCGTTGTGCGTCGAGAAACGGGATTAAGTTGTCGGGGAGGGGAGGGGATAGGACGGTCCTTTTTGGGTGCGTCGTGTCCAGTGGTTAAAGAGGACAAGGTGGGTGGATGGACTAGGCCGTAGTAATATGTAAGTCGGGCAACGCGCCGAAGGGGTGTTCCGAAGCCAGCCCGTTGTTATGTTTGCTATTCACGTCTGGACGGTTCCAATTCAAATGGCCCAGAACCGAGAAGCCGTGTTCCGTGTCTGTCCGCCTGTGACGATGGGAGGGAGGGAGAAGAGAAGACAGCGCAGGTGGGTGTGTACGTGCGTGCGTCTGTGTGCGCGTGGGTGGGCGATAGATAGTGTGAGAGATGAGCAGATACGAAGATTGCACAAGACTGCGTCGTCGGGCGGCAGCTCCTCTTCTCGGATTGGAGTCGTGCGTTAATTAGAGTCGAAACCCCGGCGGTCGTTCGACTATGAGTAGTTTGGCGGGTCAGAAAAGACAGGGCTCGATCGAGGTCGGTGAAGGCTATCGTATCGTGGACCCCCAACTCACTCGGATGTAGTCGTGGGGAGCAGGCAAGTGTGATGTGAAGGGAACAGGAAGTGATGGAATGGTCAGGCTTGCAGCTGAGTCTTGAGGAAAGGAAAGGGAATGAATGAATGGATCGAGGACGAAAAGCCAGCGCCTACGGAAAGGAGGGTAGAGAAAATAGAGTCGAGTTGGTGCTTGCAGCGAGGGACCATGGGGGGGACTTGACTGGTCGGGTTGTGGGCCGCCGCGAGACTGGGTGTATATCATGCAAGGTACTCAACAGTGATTGATATTCCAAGTTGGATAGTCCTTCAGGAAACGCTTAGGTTGCTCGTGCTCTGATGCTGGCCCAGCTGCTGAGAGTCACAGGAGAGGGAAAGGGGGAGTAGGTAGGGGAGGGGGGAGGGGGAAGGGAGGATCCATGGGGGGTGTGCGCTGTTCCTGTTGCCGTCGACGCTTGTCCAAGAGGAGAGAGTGAGAAGGGGGAGAGAGGGGGGTGCCTTGCTGGGAGCGAAGAGCTCGGAACGAATGGCTTGGGCAGCATGGGAGGGGAGGGGAGGGGTGTAGGAATATGTCTTGTCTCTTGTTTGCAAGAGAGTCTGCTGTCTCTGGGTCGACTTTTTACACGCCCTCTTGTTTAGAAGAGACGAAAATTGTGCAACCGGTGCGTCGCAGAACTGGCCGCAGTGACATATTCACGCGTAGTACACAGCTCAGCGCTAGAGGCAGACAGATAGATGGAGGGGGGGGGGAGAGAGAGAGAAAATCTCCCGCCCGGTGCCGTTTCCCACCAATATGCATACTATCTATAAGCAGCCGCGCAGATCCCTCCTTTTGGTATTCGACATGGTATTCCGCCTGGTGAGGAAACAAACTTGCCTTAATTGAGTGAAGACGTCAAGTGATTTTGCTTGAAATCGAACCACTTTGCATATCTCGTCGCCAGATGCCGGGTTGTGAATGTGCTCGGCATCGAATGTTGGGGTTCCCTCGGGCCTCCTTTACCCTCTGTGCCTCGCCTTGCAGGAGGAGGAGAAGGAGGAGGCAAACCCCTGGTTTGTCTGGGCATCCCATCCGACCGTCCGTTCCGGGGTGTGTGTAAGAGAACGCCTGGGCACTCACGGGGAGCGGTTAACAGGCAGACACATTGCGGGGCAGCACTTGAGTCATCAAAGTACCTCTTGAAGTCTCTCGCTTAATCCTGCACAGACCTACGCACAGACCAGCTCACCCTTTTCCTAGAGAAAAAAGAAGAAAACAGAGATATCTCTATCAGCTTAAGGTGCATCTAGAATATAGTAGCACAAATCAACTTTTTAGAGAAATTTACCCCTAGAGACTTATCCTTAACAAAAGATTACTTAAGCTATAAACTATACTAATAAAAAAGCTTTTTTTCTCTTTATATTGACCTAGGAGTTAAAGATTTGAAGTTAGTAGTGTGGAGGACTTGAAGTTGGTGGTGTGGAGAATTTGTGACTTAAGAGGAGGTGGGTCAGTACTTTGAGATAGTCTGAGATGCTAAGGTTTGACCCGCAATCTGTCTGCCTGTTAACCGCTACCCACTCACGACTCCGTTCTCACTCGAGAGTGGGGAGGCCAGAAAGAAGTCGCAGCCCGCGTCAGGGCGCCGCGGGTCAGATCGCACATCTTGCAGTGGCCTAACAGGCTCTTCAATTCTTCCCTGTCCTGGCCGTCGTGCTTATACGGAGTATGTACAAATGCCTTCCGGTTCCTTAATGGCAATGCACTATTGCCGGGTGTCGCAGGCATTTTGGAACCACTGCGAATCAGGGCCTGCCTTCCCATGCACGAAGCGTTCCAGCGCCTGCAAGGTGCGCTTGATTGGCCCCCCAGGAACACGGGTCTTGGACCGGGCCAACGGCGCGTACGTGACGGACTAACGCCGTCATAATCACAGTCGTCACTTTGCTCCTTCTTGGTGACTGGACCCCGCAGCCTGCAGTTCGCCGGCCGTATCACGCCTCGTGGCTTGAGATATGGAGATGCTGCAAGTGTGACTGTAACTGCAGGCAGGGCCATCCGATCTTGATGGTCACCGCGGGGTTTTTTTTTTTTTTTTTCTGCCTCTCCGGTCCCAGGGATGAGGACGAGAAGTACCGGTAAGCTAGATGTGAGTGCTTGCAGGCCGCCATACTGAAATGGGACCGTCAAACCAGCCGGCTGGACCGGCGAAATGATGCGAGCCGTCCAAAACACAATACCTAGCAGTGCCCAAGAGTGTTTGATGCATTTGCAGAGTCGAGGCCGATGACACGTTTAAGCGCCGGCGAAGATGTTGTGACGGGGTTGTTCTGGCGAGTTGGCATCGCCGACTGCCTTAGCGCGTGTTGGGCAGAGGTTTTGCCGAACCGCGCCGAAGCCCGCGTCAAGTACCTCCAGACTGCTGGCAACGTCCATGCCAACTTTGGTATTGATGCATTAGCATACGATGGGGTCGATGACGGCCGGCGAGAGACACCAAAGGCACCAGCGGTGACACAGAGTCCCCCACCCACAGGTCGAGACCTCTGCGAGACTGCGGCACAGTCTCGGCAGTCCATCATGTATGTGCCTGTTAAAGACGGCGTTCCTGCATAGATAGCTAGTTGCATTCCACAGGCCCGGGCTGTACGGGAAACGAGGCTGAGATGGTGCTCGGTCGTTTCTGGCACTTGATGATGCCATCGTGGTGTGACGAGTGTGCCAACAATCACGCATCCTGCGGCACCAGCTCAAGGGAGAGAGGAATAAGAGGAAAGCACAGTGCTCGATAAGGATAACCATAAAAGAGTTCCCATCCAGCCGAGGAATTGTATCCCGTTCAGTCTTGTACCAGAACAGGTATAGACAAAAGACAACCTTATCTGCCGCGGCCCCCGAGGTTTCTCGCGTAGCCTTAACCTGCCTCGGAGTGGTGGAGACCATCGATCGTTATCCGGGTGAGCGCCTCTGCCGCTTACCGTTTTCCCAGAGTCCTCTGTTTGGCCTGTCTTGGTTTTACGCTATTGATCGAAAGCGTCGTGTAGTTGAAGGGAGGAAGCCTCAAAACCGTGCAAGGACAGGGATGCCGGACCGAAGCTTGGCTTCAATCTGTCAGCAACGTACTGTACCGGTAGTAGGGCATGTCATGGGCATTCTAAGGAGGGGGTGGGGATGACCAGCCACAACCTATCGGTTGGGTCCATTGGCCTGCCTATCTGGGTATCTACCTGCCTACTACCTACATACTTAGGTGGTACCTCATCTGATCTTGATGCAAGCAGCAACAGCAACATTCATAGCTTGCGTTCCGGCCCGAGAAACAGCATCTACCTGCTTTTTCGTAACTTAGGTACCTAGGTAAGTAGGTAGGTGGTATCTTGGTCAGTTGTCTCGGTGTCTGTACACCGGCAGCTGCTGCCTGTCATTGATGGCAGTATACAGTATGTATACCGCGAAGAAGGATAAAGTGCGGGAGAAAAAAAAGAGGGAACCCCCCCCCCCCAATGCAGGGTGTCAAGCGAATGCCTGCAACTCTTCTTCCTACATTGGGAAGTCAATGATGTAAGGCATGGCAGCACGAGCCCCCCAAAGCACGAAAAGAACAGAACATCATAAACCACACAACCTACGATAAGGTAAAATCGGACCCTTTCGCTACGAATGGAGTGGCTTGCATCTCTCAACAGTCTCTTCCCCCGTTATCCCATAACCCAAAAATCCGGAAGAAGCACAAATTCCGAGCATACACCGTTGATAGAAGGACGGTATCACCAACTCTAATTATCCCTGCGCGTCCCAGTCTCAGAGATTCTGCGAAACTCGCTTGTCCTCTAGGCTGTTTTGGAAACCCCATGCAAAATAGAGTCTCCACCGACGAACGTCCCGCCTACAGGGGCGGCACGCTTCTTCCTTCGGTGCTTCTTGACAGATCAACCACCTGCAACATATCGCCCTTGCTACCTAGGTCTGTACGTTGTCTTTCCGTGCCGCGATCGATGGGTACTTGCACCCCCGTGCGGGCCACCAGCCGCTCCGCCGCATGAACCCACGTACCTGACCGTGTTTTATCACGCAGCATCCGGCCAAGTCGAGGAGTCATCCACACTCGGAGAGCTTACTGCACCTCGTTCACCAAAGGCCCCTTCCATTCCGACCCTCAACGACGTCTTGGTCGAGGCAACCAGAGGCGTCCGTCGTCAACACAAACACACAGACGCCACACAACGCCACGCAATGCGTCGCATCGCATCGCATCGCATCGCACTTGAAAGCTTCTGACAACAGCGCACAATCCGATTTGCCTGTATTGCCGGGTCATTACCACCGCCTCCATCCTTGTGAACAAGTGTCTCTTCACCCAGAAACCGTCACAAGTCTGGGCATCCTTTCTAACGGATGAATCAACCAGTGACGCGGTGCGATCGCCGCCGTTCTTCTCCCTCAATGCAACCTTTGACGGCCCCTGCTAGCAGGGCAACCCCCACTACTGGCAGCCAGATTAAGTGATCGCCGCCAAACCGCTGCATCTCCCGATTATAGTCCTTACTAGTACTCGACAGCTGTTCCTCAAATCACACCCTCACCAGCATGTTTAGTTTCGCGCAGTGGCATCACCGTCGCGCCTACGATGCCCTCATCATCACTCAGATTCCCATCATATGTCCTACCCAGGCCGTCGTCGATGAACGGCCTTGCCTTCCCTGCCGCCCTGTCCTCTTTTCGGGCTGCCTTGCTCGACTTGTACGCGCAGACGGCAGTATCCAACATCCGATATCAGGCTGGTTTCAAACCCGGCTATCCTCTCCACCCCTTCGACCCCTTACCATGTACACACGTACTCGGGTGCGTGTCGGCCACTTTCCATCCTGTAGTGTCACCCGCTTCCAGCTGTCCCAACTGCGTACACTCCCTTACAAGTGGGCCTCGTCACGGCATGGCGGCGGTCCCGGCGTCCTACGACCCACATAAATAAGGTAGCGCCTCTGGTCCCTGTTCCGCTACCAGTACACACGCCTAGGAATTCGTCTCATCTACCACCTGTCACTCACGCTCCGCCTCCTTCCGGTCTTCGATCGGTGGGGAGTATCTCCCGGGTCTATTGTCAGTGTTTCTTCTGACATGATCTGCATCAAGCCCGACGCTGATGCCATGCCTGCAAGCCCTGCTCTGAACCCCCCTGGCGCAGGCTTCTCCTTCTCTACCCATACGTACAGTCCTCCCATATTCCTTAGGCTCCACTGTCCCAGCGCCTGGAGACGATCAAGAACTCGGCGGAAAAGTCTGGCCGAGACAAGCCTTGGAAAGCTTGGCATACAAAGGTTAACATAACGGGCCAGATACAAATGTCGGGTCCAATAACCTTGCCGAGACCCCAGAGTCCAGTGCTTCGTCATCCTGCTCCATGCCCACCCTCCCCCTCCCCCCGGCACCTATTCCGGCATAGAACGCCAAGGCATTCAAAGACTCAGCCTCATTGTCAAGCCCATTAGTGGGGTGGTTCCTAGGATTTCTCACACCACGACTGCAGGCACAACCACCCCCCCCTGGCATCTGGCTTGTCAAGGTCCTGGGAGCCTTGGCCACTGGGCCTTGTCGGGACGTGGCAGACGCGGTCCAAAGTCTCTGTTCATCACAAAAATCGTACGATGTTGTTTACAGTGACTGCCATCTCCACGTGCTGCCGCTGATGATCCTCTGCAAGTTTAATATTCGGCTTGACAACCGAGATTCCTGGGACTAAAACATATTGGGGAATCTTTCGTTGATTTCGTGGTTCATTTCGTACATCATTCGAGGGGTTCCCACGGGGTGCTTAAGATGAGGCCTAGAGCATGCCCTTCTCAACCTTCTCCTTTCGCTCCTCCCACAACGTCTTGCCGGTACAAGAGCACACGGTCTTGTCATTGTCCCACACGCCGGCACTCCTGGCAATCACGCCAACTACGGTGTCGGAGTCGTTTTTCAGCGCCCCTGCAGATTCATCTTGTCTCGAGACGACCATCGCATGGCCAATGACTTCCCAGATCTGAAAGGGCTTGTCGAGGTACGCGCTGCCTCTGCCATCCTTGCTGACGTGGAAAACGCCCAAGAACCCCTTGGCGGCATTGCCTTCGCTACCTCCCGACCAGACAGGGCCAGTCGAAGATGCACCCTCTGCCAGGTTGCCATACTCACGGATCGTCGCTCTGTAAGAGCCGGGGGCCACACCGCGTAGCGTCAAGTCGATTAGAGTGGTAGTCGGAGAAACCTGCACCATTCTGGCCAAGCCCCTGACCTCTCTATCTGACCCCCCATCCAACTCTTTACTTGCATGCTCGGCATCGTCTGCACGGTAAAAGGACTCGAGGATGCTGACAGCCGCGCCTGGTGGGTGGTAAGTAAGCTACTAGACCATGTCCGGTATTCCAACGCGAGCAAGTCTGCATGCAACCCAAACCTCCTCTACCGACACCAGTACCGGCATGAGAAGGTGAGGTGGGTGGTAGTGGCATCGGGAAACAAGGTTTTATGCCCGCAAAGTAGTTACAGGAAGTTGGGGTGATCGAGTTGGACAAGATCCAATCGAGGAATGGTGAGGAGAGGCTTTGGTTGACCTACTGTTTGATCCCCCCGAGCCTCGCAGGATAGCGTCCCTGCCAGTGGCTTGAATGGCATCGACAATGGAAGACGGCGCGGCTGTAAAACGTCGCCAAGATTGTCAGTCAGCGTCTACCATTTTCCAAACGCCGAGGCCCCAATATTGAGCCCATCAATCCGTCCAATAACGGGGGGCCAGCAATGCAGCTCTTGGCAAATTATGGAACTCCCAAGAAGTCACCCAAAGGGAATAAGCTTGAGAAAATCTCAAAGTGTATAGCCCAGACGAACAAGGGGTGTAAAAGGGGGAGGGGGTGGGAACGAGAAAGGCGTTGTTGGGCGACAAAGAAGAAGAGGAAGAAAAGGAACTTTCAGAGTTTGCAGCAGAAAACGGCGTACCTGTGCCCTCGACAGATAGCAATTGGTCCTCGAGGTTGGCCTCGACCTTGGTGATGCCCCCCAGTTTGTACAACGAGTCTGAAACGTCCTTGACGCAGCTGTCACATGTCATGGGGACAGCAAAAACGGTCTAGTCAGGTTTTCGGACGTTTCATTAGCCATCGTAGTTTTGAACAACAATCCCCTTTTTTCTGCACTGCCAGAGACAGCAATGGAAACACGCAAGCAAGCCTTCGGGTCCGTTCTGGCGGGACGGCTGCCGGTGGGATTGTTTGGTCAGATCCCACTGATGAGCCGGACAGGCGTGGATGCAGAAGTAGACTTGCGCAGACGAGCGAAGTGGAAGTGGAACAGCCCCAACTCACCTGGAATGGATATGAGACGGTCATCGTGAAGGGTAGTCTGCTTGGCTGCAGCGGGCTTCGTAACAGAGAGCGGTAGTTGTGGAGGAAGTCGGTTAGGCAGTAGAGCATGCTCCGACCCCGAGATGATACTACAAAGAAAAAAGTGCAATGTGCTTTCGGGAAGGAAGATGGTTGTAAACCCTGCACACCCGAAGTTCGAGGGGGAACGTATTTCTTGGTAAGGACGGGCGTGATTGCGTCCAATGGGGAGAGCCGGATGCGCTTTTTAATACTTTCCGTCGGTCCTACGTTCGTGGAGTTCAACTGTCGCTGATGGCGTTAGGGGATTGTTGCTTTGAAATCGCCTTACCCAATGCGCACCACATTCATATTCACCTGCCCCTCCTCGCAACGGCGGGGGTAGAAGGGCATAGAAAGGGATGCGACTGTGCTGCCCGCCATGGGCGGAAGGTGCTGCGATCGGGCCAAAGTCGGCGCTCGCTTTCTTCAGCTGCTGGCACCTGGCCATTTCTTAGTGTTTCTCATGTTATCTTATCGATTGCATCACGTGATAGCGCTCGTGCTCTCGTGTCTCCAAAATTTTGGGGAGCTCAGGTCTCAATAGATTGAACCGATATCGATCGCCAACCGACGCCAACAACGCGCATAGCCCTTCCAACGACCGAACGAGACAGATTCGCTGCTGCGACAACCTGCTGCCAGCCTCCGCCCCGACGAACGGCACGACCCGCGAATACAGCTAAACGGAGGATCGGCTGAGGCGGCCAGCCCAGAACAACCTTCAAAATGTCGCAAACCGTTGGCCTGGTACGCTCTCTCCCACCCCTTTTCCCCAATTGAACTTTCCTAGACAAAGGCAGACCCGCTGACCACCGGCCGCCGTGCGAGACAGACTCGCCTCTCCTACTCCCGGGTATGGCACCACGTCTCCGCCTCAACTCCCCACGAAACCCTCTCCACCCAGCCGGGCGTCACCCCCCCGTCCCTCGGCCGCCTCGCTTCGCGCATCGCCGTGCTGCTAATGGGCAAGCACAAGCCGACCTGGGACCCATCGACGGACTGTGGCGACTACGTCGTCGTGACTGACTGCGCGGCGCTGCACGTCACGGGCCGCAAGAAGTGGCAGAAGACGTACTACCGGCACAACACCCGTCCAGGCTCGCTGCAGGCCGTCACCATGGACGTACTGATGGAGAAGCACGGCGGCGCAGAGGTGCTGCGCAAGGCGGTCAGCGGCATGCTGCCCAAGAACAGGCTGCGCGCCCCGCGGCTGGCGAGGCTCAAGGCGTTCGAGGGCGAGGCGCACCCCTATAAGAAAAACGTGATCCGGTTCGGAGGCGTCCCCGTCGGGCAGCACGGGTGGGAGGAGCAGGTCAAGGCGATTCGGGAGGCGGACTCGGAGAGGATATGAGAGGCATGTGAAAGGATGTGGTTTAATCGGTGTGTCACCAGTGGTGGTGGTGGTGAAGGGGACCACGGACTTGGACAGGCAAGAGGATGGAGCGGTCGTCTGTACCGGCGTGTATATTCTGTATGAATACGGGCATCTCAAAATCGAAGTCTTATCGTTCTCACAACTTGGGTCGCGGTGTCTGCCGAGTGCTAGGTACGACTGTGGCAGCGATTAGTCCGTCTAGTTTGTCTCGAGGGCACTTAGGCGGCTCCCGAAGCTTTCCCTTGCGACCGCATAGAGGTAGGATTGCTTCAATGAGGGCTTCAATGGGGTTGGGATCTAGGGTTGAATGATGTATGTTGTTCTAGACGTACTCAACAATTACTATGCAGTTAAATGACGACAGAGTGGCTCACGGTCAGAGCACACCCAGGGTGAGGCTGTTCGCATGGATGGCTAAAATCACATGAATCGGACCTGTGGGAGGGGGGTGAGGTTCCTTTTTTATCACAAAAGAGGACGTTGTGATACCGTTTATCGATTCATGGTTCATATGTAGATGGCGTATACGACCTACTTGTTAGATATGTCGAATCTGAGAGACACAGATCACCGACTAGATTGGGCCAAATAGAAATGCTGCGGTTTGCACATTGAATTCTCATTCTGGGTTCAAGGCTCATTATTACTATAAACAGCTGACCGGGTCTAGCCAGGACATAGACGGCCAGGATAAATGCAGATGCTGATTCTATTGAGGATGCCTTCCTCTCCCGGGCTCTTGCTTTCCGCGTCGACCTCCCACTCACCTCCTACGCTCTCCTACACTGCCCGAGCGTCTCATAGCTTGGATGACCCGAGCTTGCGGGCGACCTCGCATTTGATGAGACCGTTGGGCCCGGACTGCGGAGCGTAGACCTCGGCGTCCTTGCCGGTGTTCTGCAGCCCCTTGTGCCAGCTCAGGTCGATCTCAAAGTAGTGCTTGTTAGGCAGAGAGTAGGTGACAGTCAGGGTCTCGGGGACGGCGGCGAGGATCTGCTCGCACATCTTGTACATGGTGTTCTGGACGCTGGCGCTCTCGTCCTCGGCAAAGGTCTTCATGGTGATGTCGCGGGCGGCCTGCCAAGCGGGGTCGAACTTGGGGACGGCGGCGCGGACGGCGGCGAGGTCTGGGAACGCCCAGGTCCAGCCGGCGTCGACGTCGGTGGAGAGGATGCGGTCCCAGGTCTCGGGGAGGGTGGTGTACTCGTCGCGGACGAAGCCGTGGAAGGCGGAGCCGGTGGACTTGAGTACAGTGAGCTTCTGTATGGCGCTGGTGAGGGCGATGCCGTCGCGGCGGGAGACGCGAGCCTCAACGTTGCGGGTCTCCTCGCCGTCGCGGTAGAATGAGTGGGGGTGCGGCCGTCCGTCGACGGTCATGCGGGTCCAGCGGTGCTGGACGATCTTGACGTTGGCGGTGTGGATGTGGGCGTAAGTGTCGAGGAAGTGAGCGCCGAGGATGGAGGCGAAGAGCTCGGGCGGGTTGACGGGGTTCTCCTTGGCCTTGATGTAAACGGTGTTCTTGATGGAGTCAGTGGCGACAACGACGCTGTTGTCGGCGGCCGTGAAGGAGACGTCGATGTCGCCCTCCAGGAGGCAGCAGACGGTCATCTCGGTGACGGTCTGAGTGGCGCCGTTGCGCTCGACCTTGTAGACGCGGACATTGTCCTTGCCGTAGCGGGCGGAAGCGAGATACGACATTGCGAATTTGCGATGAGGGTTGTTCCGCGTGAGACGTAATAAAAAGAGGGGGAGGATGGGAGGGTGTCACGAGTGAGGGAGATGGACGTTATCACGGTTCAAGGATGAGATGAGCAGCAAAAGAAAGATGAGACCCGCAGTGAGGACTCTCTTGGGTATCAATGAAGGAAGAAGAGTTGTGGTGGTCGGACAGTGAGACAAGAGACGAGGAGCAAGCGTTGGGGAAAGGGACGGTTTCGAGGAGGGGAAACAAAGCGGTTATATATATATATATATATATCAAAGGCTCCCTGGGAGACGAGTGAGGTTTTCCCACTCGTTGGTTTAGCTTCCTTGGACGTCACCCACCGACACGGAACCCGGAGATAGATAGCGTGGTCGCGTCTTGAGTCGGCATGTTTGCTTCCTACGGGGAGGGGACGTTCCAATGGCAGAGGCGCTGGCCGAACTGACCCGATTGCTTGAAAGGGGACCGGTAGGCATGGGGTAAGATGGTCTTACTGGCGTGGAGTGGAGCCGCCGGAGCCCGCCGATGCCCTTTGGTGCTTGGCAGGCAGGTCGCCGCATTCAGCCGCTCTTCGTGATGCGACCTCCGGCAGGCGATGAGCGACAAGCAAGACTCGTGTTTCCCCTCTTTCCCCCCCCTTTCTTTCTTTCCCACTCTCATGGTTGCGAGCCCTAGGTTTCCGAAGCAAACGCCTTCAGGATCGACTGAACCACAGAAAGCCTGAGAATCGGTGTTTGTTTTATGCCAGTGGTCTTAGAAAGCCAACCGCAAGCGCTTCATGTGCCCATAGGCTTCAATGGCCGGCTCCGAAAAAAGCATACTGTACAATTCACATCCTAGGAGGTTCTCAAAAGGTGCTTGCACGAATGGCGCACAGCACATCATCTAGAACAACACTTATCGAACTCCCCGCCTCATCTAAGCCATTTCCCGCGAAAGTTAACCGCCCTCGGCCTGATGCGAGGTTGAGTTTTGAAGTGAGATGAGGTTCGCGAAGACGGAGCCGGCCCACCCGTCATCTCAGGACTGGTGAATATCAGGTCCAAGGGCCGAAGAGCCAAAACCTATCCCGTACGTGACGTGCCACTGACAGAAATGATTCTGGCCATTGCCGTTTCCCGCAAGCAACCGTATAATTAGCCGCGGCCTATCCCCTCGGTTTTGTCGGGCGGTAATCCGATAGTGAAGATATCCGCATCCAATCTGGAAGATGTGTGGTAGACGTAGATAGAGGAGGAGCCGGCCGTGTTTCAGCATTGGCGGTGGTAGTCGACGCTGTGGCACAAGCAGCTTCAGGCAGCAAGGGAGTTCCTCGAGAATAGCAAGAGGATGCCCCATGCTTGTTGGTCATCGGCGGGCTCTCATCTTTGGCTGTTGTCCGAATGTATTGTAGAGAGGGAAAAGGGGACATGTTGTTATTTCGATCCATGATCGTCCAAAGAACCTTTGTCCCTGTGCAGGAGGACGGGGGCAATCAATCGAGCACGTTGTTGTTGACGAACGCCCTGGATATTGTGAGATGAGGGATCTCTGGCCTACACGGGTGCTGTCTAGAGCGCCTAGGGGCTTGGGAAGGCTTGGTTGCGGTCAGGCATCGCCAAAGTTGTCAAGAGTAAAAGTGAAGAAGGTTCAGTATCTTGTCTCTTATCGATAAAGGGAAGACGTGTATTTTCAGCAGTAAGCGCTTTCTAAAAAAGCATCTCGATCACACCGAAGACAAGGAGAGGTTATGGTCCATGCTTTCGGCGGGTGGGCGGGCGAAGCGAGTCTTATAGTGACTTATGGTACCTACCTACCTACCTATGTACGATTGAAGCGAGTAGTAGGTAAAATACATTAGCTATGGTTTGGTTTGGGAAACGGCAGATTAGTAAAAGTGAGTGTTTGGCATGGACGAGGTCCGACTCCAAGACCAACTACTGTAGCTGCCTTATCTCCGCTAGCAGTCCGACACTGCCAACTCCCTGTCTGTCCAGCCTGAAGAATGTCCTGACACTGCACCTCCACTACTGCACTGCTCAACAACAGACCCCCCTGAACACCACCCACACCATACATCGACACCCGCTGGAGCAGTACCAAGCGACTGACTGTACCACAACCCGCAGCACACTAGCGACAAATGTGTCTCCACTCCTGAAGCTGGCAGCGCGGAGCAGGCAGAGAGCTGGCGCAGGTTGGGTTGGGGCACAGCGACCGAGGACCGTGAGCCGTGAACCGTGGACTTGTGAACCAGATTACATACGACGCCCGACTCGTTCAATTGTCAACGACAACGCCATACCTCGTTCTCCTTTTCAACCAACCTTGGTCACCCTTCGTTGCCTCGAGAGCGACGCGCGAGTGCGAAAACCCTCCAAGATCCATTTTCTCTGTTGCGCAGACTCTCAGCATTGGACCCCCTCCCCCAACTGCATCTCCACTCGGACTGACGACCTTGGCTTGGCTCTGCAGGGCCACCGTCCGACTGGAATCACCACCTGCGCCCAACATACTGCGACCCGACTATTCACCTTATCGATCGCTGCCCGTAGCTGCCTGCTCACTGTCTCCGAGTGCCTCATATCAAAAGTGGCCCCGCCCTCGAATTGAACCTCGGCACCCCTGTCGCGATATATCACACATTGGTTGGCGACGGTCCTTTATCCCGCGCGAACGACGAACCCGACGAACTGCCCCCCTACACACAGATAACAACAGCCGCATATATCAAAGCAATCTTGCGATAACAGTCGCCCGAATGCAACGACCTACGGAGAGGCCCCGGAAAAAGGTGGTATCGTAGAGTGGTTTCACCGCCATGCTGGGCGCCTCCAGTCAGTCTCAAAAGGCACTGTCGCCTCAGCAGTCTGTGTCGAGCCTCAATACCCTCAACCCACGCCCCAGTTTCGAGCGCGAGGCGAGCACCGGCGGTCTCCAGCCGCCCTCCGCATCATCTGCCAATGCTTCGAGAAGCTTGGGCGCCTCGGGCGCCAGCTTCGGACCCCGAGGCTCCTCGCTCAACCCCTCCATTGCCCCCGGGAGTTTCAGTTCTGAACTGCGCAGCCAGATGATGCCACCTCGATCTGGCTCCAGGGGCGATATCTACAGCATCGATAAAGTCGACGAGGAGGATTGCGCCACCGCTACTGAGCAGACGCTGGCAGCGCTCCGAGAACAGCTGAATCGGGAGATGAAGATCAAGGATGGGAGCGAGAACATGTTGGAGGCCTTGAATGCCAAGAAGGCGAAGCAGACAAAGGAGCAGAGGGCCAAGGTCGAGGCAGAGCTCAACGCATCCAACCAGCGGATCAAGATCCTACGCCAGAAGATTGCAGACGCTTCTAGGCCTAAGGCAACCCCGACAACTCCAACAAGGCAAAGGACCAATGATGCACTGTATTCTTCCGCCAACAACGGCTTGCGTTCTCCCCCCAGTGCTTCCCGCAGCGGCGCTGGATCTGATTACGAGGAGGCAGCCGAACAATCGCCTACCTTCCTCCTGGCTGAGCTGCTCCAGGCTCTGGAACAGGAGGGCATGCCCCCAGAATACTATGTCAGTCGAGGCAACAGCCTAGTCGACTTGTTCAGGCGGCATCCGACACTCAAGTATGACCTGGTGTGGTCTGTCTTTGGTATGCGTATGCAAGTCATGCTCCTCAGCGAGGCCCGGGAAGTGGTGGCTGCTGGCTACCGCATGATCCGATATGCCATCTCAGATGTGTCGTCCCTGAAAAAGATCCGCAGTCTGAACACTGACATGATTGTTGTGACGTGAGTACAAAAGAACCCAAGCTCGCTCAGTGGGGCTTTGGCTGATAGGAAACAGGTCATTAATCAAGGATCGCAAGGCCGATCTGGAGCGTGAACAAGCCTTGAAGTTTGTCCGAGCTTTCTTGGATGTGAAGGACGGAGTCAAAGAACTATCACGCGCAGTCGTGCGAACTATAGCTGCCGTTGCCGAGCAAGCCGAAGACCGCCTGCGGTCCATTTGTCTGGAGACCCTTGCCGAGATCATGCTCCGTGATCCTGCCCTGGCAGTTGCATCTGGCGGCCTGTCACCGCTCTCTGAGGCTCTGATTGAAGGGACCTACAAGTCACCAGAGTCACTCACGGCTTCCTACTTGCAAATACTGGACAATCCGCAGAAGAGGGTTTACCTACGCTCCGGTTATGATCTGGAGGTCCTCTTCACGGCATTCACGGACATCATCCTGGCCAACGAAAGTCTACTGAAGCAAAATGCAAAGGCCATCACTAAGATCCTCAAGAGCTGGCCTGGTCTGATGATACTGACGATGCATGACTCTCGCGCACTCAAGTCGCTGCTTACCAGTATGGTGCTTCCGCAACCCACCATCCGGGAAACCGTCATTGATCTTGTCTACCTTCTACTCCGGATCAAATCCCCTTCATGGGCCTCGTCCTTTCTCGCTGGCCGGCGGTTGACAACGTATGGACGGGTTGCCAGCCTCAAGTCCATCTCAAACCATAATCCCTCAGGGTCAACGTCCCCTATGGAAGAAGATACCGGGGAGCAAAACTTCATGGATCACTATACTGCCCTCCTTCTGGCAACGTTCGTCAAGGCTGGTCTCTTGGAAAACCTTCTCCAGGTCGCAAGAACTAGCGAGCCGCAGTTGTCGAGGAAGACGTGTCTTCTCATTGGAGAAGTGCTGAAGTTGGCGAGCAGGCTCCTGCCCTCATCTTGGAGCAACGACCTCCCTCTGCTTCCAGAACTGTTCGCTGCCGCCACTCAGTTCAAGGACGATAACAGATTCATTGCTTCCGGTATAGTTTATCAGATTAGCTCGGTGAGCAGGACCCTGTACAGAAGCTCGCCTTCTGTGAGCACGGCCGGGACCTTGCCGTCACATGACAGCATGGGCAATCTCGCGGACATGCCTCGCAAGAGTAACACCGGGGTTGTGGTTCAAGAGGGCGCAATCCGACAGCTCTTGGTCGAGTCGAATGTCCTGAACAGCTCCAACTACTTGAAGTGGAACTGGGATGTCATCTCACGAATCATCGAAGGGCCGCTCCAAGACGGAAAACGGCTGGACGAGGTCAACAGGGTCTCCAAGTTCATGAACAGGATCATGAGCTTCTACCGTCCCTTTAAGCACAGGTTCTCCGATCTTTCCAGCAACAAAAACACGCAAAAGTACGTCAGGGTAGGATGTGCTTTGATGCATACTCTGCTTCAGTCTAATGAGGGCGTCGAATATCTGCAGGATCACAAGATGCTGCGGCAGATAGCCGAGTGCCTTGCTCAATGCGATCCGGTAAGTCCCTCCCCTCAACTACAGCAACGCGAGCAAAGGACTAACAGCTTTCGCAGAGCAGTGGACTGACATCGGCGGATCCCATGTTCTCCCCTGGCCGCCTGCAAAGCACGCTTTGCGCGGGTTACTTCCCCATGCTTGGTGTCCTCAGTGGCGACCCTAGGGGCTTGGATCTCCTGCAGCGCTGGAGGATGTTCAACATGATGTACCACATCCTCGGTCATAAGCAGCGCCCCGACTTGATCAAGCTGTTGCTCTCCAACTTCGACTACAGCATCCCAGGGCACCCGCGGGTGCTTATAGAGCAGGCCCTGACTTCTGGAACGAGAGAGATTCGTATCACGGCAACGAATGCGCTGCGAAAGTATGCAACTAGGCCGTTCGATGCATCACAGCCTTCCTACGTCAAAGTCGACTGGAAATGGGCAATCGAAAAGCTGTGTGACCAGCTGTACGACCCTGAGGTAGAAGTCTGCCGAACCGCGGTTAAGATCCTCGAGAAGGCATGCAATAAGAAGGCATACCTGGAATACGTTGTTCAGTGTCGTCCGACGATGGACCACCTGGGCGAGATCGGCGCCCCTCTCCTCCTGCGGTTCTTGTCTTCTTCCATCGGCTATCACTATCTCGACGGCGTTGATTACATTAGTAACGAGATGGACGACTGGTTTCTCGGCCGGAACGACTCGTACGTCGGGGTTATCGAGACCAGCCTGGCCAAGGCGTTTCTCGAGAATCCCGAGGAGCATCAGAACCGCATGAACATGGTGGACGAAGCTCAAGCGGAGGCGGAACCAGAGAACCATATACCACCCCATTTCTATCGCGAGCTTGCACGCACTCAAGAGGGCTGCAAGCTGCTCAACGACAAGGGCCATTTCGCCGAGTTTGCCAACACCATCAAAGAGTACGGAATGCAGTCAGAAGACCCAGAGCTCATGCTAAAGGTCAAGTCGTCAATGTGGGCTGTTGGAAACGTCGGTTCGATGGAGCTCGGCGCTCCCTTTATTGAGTCGTGCGACGTCGTTGAGGATATTGTCAGAATCGCCGAGGAGCACGAGGTGATGAGCCTGCGCGGCACCGCCTTCTTCGTGCTCGGTCTGATCTCTAGATCCGCCCACGGCCTTGAGATCCTCTCAGAATGCGGGTGGGACGCAAATCTTTCACCGAGGGGAGAGTCCCTGGGATTCTGCATCCCCAACGACTTGTCCAAGTTCTTCTCCTTCAAGCCATGGAAGCACGCCATCGCCTCCAAGATCACGTTACCAGACACGCAGAAAACGTTCTTGACTCCGCCGCCGCCCACGGAAGCGCGCCCACCTCTGGAGAAGGAAGATCTGCCGGTCTTCACCAACGAAGCAGCCACCAATCAGCGGATTCTCGATCTCGTTGTCGATCTCGGTAACATGGTGCTGTACAAGCGCGCTATGGGCGAGCTAATGCAGATCAGGCAGCACAAGGTGCCAGGTTTCAGGTGCCCAAAGATGTTCAAGCGCGTCATGACGATGCTTGAATACAACCACTACCGTTTGCCTATTAGACGAATGGTGATAGAAATGTTCGACAAGAGCGTCCTCCGCCGCATCGTGTTTGGCGAAGACAGTGATGGTGGGTCTGACGAAGATGAAGACGAAGAGCACGAAGACGATGCGTCTTCATCTGGTGATGAGAACCGAACCGAGAGACAGAGGAGCATATCAGATCCTTCAGAGCTCGTGAGGAATATTCCAATAAGGACGGAACGGCCGAATAGTCACAGCTCGTCTGGCACAGAGGGCTCGGTCGAGACGGCGTGACGGCTGCACTGACTGGCTACATTGGCACATCCCGTTCCATCCTCTTTCCCCACAAACTACTTCTCGGCGTGTGGAACGGGAGAGGGCGTGTGAAATTTTGAAACCTCACCAAGTAGCTTGGTGAGGCATTTTGCTGTTGGATTTTCTTGTACTATATCTCGAACTTTTGGGGATGGATAAGTCTGGTGGACCGGCCAATATTTTGACTGTCAAACAGACGTTCAGAGATCACGACTTGCTATTTGAGCGAGCTATGGATACGATGGAGTCGGCTGGCTGGCTGGCTGTATACGCATCGATCGATTCCCGGGGAGTAGGGCGTCGGCAGGGTAGGCAATTCAAAAGTAACTTGTTCCCCCCTATGAATAAGCTGGCTGTGAAGCACACGAGCCGGTAACCTGTTTGCCACGACGAAATACCAAATATGGCTGATTATTTACGTGATGTTGTTGCTCATGAAATGAACCGGGACATCGGAAGGAGCTGCTGAGTGTGCACCTTGCAGTAAAATCTGAGCCCCGCCCCCACCTTGGGTGGTGACATGACATCTGAGAACGACAAAACCGCCCATCCGACGTCAATCGCCCTCCGACCTGTCCATTCGGAAGGATGCTTCGCGGCCCGAAATAGCACTTGTACAACGGAAGAAGTGGCCTTTAATTTCTTCAAATACCGCCCAGGACTATCCAACTGCCTTGTCGGTCTATTTTTGCAACAGCACCCAACATGCCTCAGGGACGGGTTCTTGTCATTGCTGGCTCCGACAGCTCAGGCGGGGCGTGAGACACCGTCTCAATGCACCTCTTGCGTGTTTCGATGCTGATAGGTTTTACAGCGGCCTCGAGGCAGACCAAAAGGTGATTGCAGCGCACGGCTGCTATGCCATGACGGCCACGACTGCCTTGACGGCGCAGGACACTACTGGCGTACACGATATCTACCATGTGCCGCAGGAGTTTCTGGTTAAGCAGATCAATGCCTGCGTCGGCGACATTGGAGTCGATGTTGTCAAGACGGGTTGGTTGTGAAGGCCTGCGGAAGCGAAGCCCGATAGCTGACCGTATCCAGGTATGCTGGCTTCTCCCGCAACGATAGGGACTGTTGTCGAGGCTCTCAAGAGGCACAAGATACCCAAGGTGGTCGTGGACCCGGTATGTACTGCCTAATTTGCCGACGGCGTAGAAAATAGGCGCCTGACGTTGGTAGGTCATGATCGCAACGAGCGGGGCCGAGCTCCTCCCCCGCGAGGCCGTCGCGGAGCTGTTAGAAGGTCTGCTGAGGCTCACCACCGTCCTCACGCCCAACATCCCAGAGGCGAAGCTCATTCTCGAGGACTCTGGTCACAAGGCCGTCGAAGTCAGGAACGTCAAGGACCTTGAAGAGATGGCACGGTCCGTCCAAGCGCTTGGCCCTGAGTGGGTGCTGGTTAAGGGCGGGCATATGCCGTTCAAGGCGGATTTCACTGTAGCCGAGACGGAGGGAGAGAAGGCTGTCGTTGTTGACGTGCTTTACGGACACGGGGAGTTCCTGCAAATACAGAGCCCGTACCAAATGTCCATGAACACGCATGGTACTGGCTGCTCGCTGGCTTGTGAGTAATGGCTCTTCTCTAGGAGCAGTATATGCTGACATACGAAAGCTGCTATCGCCTCTAATTTGGCCAAGGGTCTTACTGTACCTGAAGCAGCCAAGTCAGCCTGCCGATACATCGAGGCTGCGATCAAAACGGCCCCGGGCTTCGGCAAGGGACATGGGCCTTTGAACCACTTTCACTCAGTTCAAATACTTCCGTTCGCGCCGTACGGCCCCCGAATCCCTGGAACTACCACGAGCTAACTAACAGCAGAGGACGTTTCATTGAGTATATGCTCGCACGATCCGATGTCAGAGACGTCTGGAAGGCTTTCGTTTACCATCCCTTTGTCATGGCCATGGGAGACGGCACGCTCCCTATGGAGTCCTTCAAGCAGTACCTCATCCAAGACTACCTTTACCTCGTATGTTTCTGGCAGTCCAGCCGGAGAGATCTCTCTAACATGTTTAAAGGTCCATTTTGCCAGAGCCAATGCCCTGGCGTCGTACAAGGCGAAGAACATCGCGGATATTGCGGCTGTCAGTATCAGATGGCGCTGTGCTGGGTTTCATACTGACCATGTCAGGGCGCCACTATCATCAACCACATCAATCGTGAGATGAGCCTGCACATTGACTACTGTAAGGGCTTCGGCATTACTGTGCCCGAGATCGAGGCAACCGAGGAGCATCAAGGTTAGTCATTTGTTGGTAGATGCCGAGTCTACGATCTAATCAAGCACAGCTTGCACGGCGTACACACGCTACGTTCTCGATGTGGGAATGAGCGAAGACTGGATTGCCCTTCAAATGGCACTGGCTCCCTGTCTTCTAGGGTACGGTGCCGTAGCCAAGCAGCTCCACGGCGACATTAAGACGAAGCGCGATGACAACACGTACTGGAAGTGGATCGAGAACTATGTCGCTGATGACTACGTCGGGGCCGTCAAGACTGGGTCAGGTTCGTGGAGTCCCGCTTGTGATTGACGAAGCGCAGGGTTGCTGACCGAGGAACAGAGTTGATCGAGAGGCATGCCGTGCTACAGAGTCCGTCGAGCATCGAGCGGCTTATCAAGATCTTCGTCCACGGAACCAAGGTACGCTGCACACGGTACAAGTCCCAACATTCACTAACTGTGATGCAGATGGAGATTGGCTTCTGGGAGATGTTTCCTTACCAATGAGGAAGCCCAATAGGATTGATTGCTCAAGAGTTCCGATAGAGTACTAGAACACAGCAAGGACTTTCAACAAAGACGGTGGACAAAGGGTCTGGATAACTGACGGACAGGCTTGAGCGGCCAAGGCATCTTGTTGTCGTCATCCTGGCGCTCACACAGCCTCGTATACCAACTTTAGATAAATACCTAGATAAATCTTCTGGAAAAGAACCAAAGCAAACGACTCAAGCATCGTCACGCTGAGTGGTGCAGGAGCTCCCTCCATTGTCTGGTGCAGCTGGCCGTGCCCCATTTTCTTTGACAGTTCAGGCGTACAGGACGAAGTGTTAATGCCGCCGTGCCATTGAATACGTCAAAACCTGCATAATGAGGGAGGCACCCCTGCCCTCGGAGACTCATCCGAGGCCAAACGGTCTCCAATCATTTAGCAATAGTTTCGCAGAACGGATGCAAAATCTGAGAAGGGTTTTCTGGAGATCCAATCCTGAACAGCAGGCTGAGGAAGGGAGAGGTGCTTTATCGCGAGTCATATCCACTACCTTATCTATCCGATAAGACGGAAGCGGGCCAACGTGCAGAATGTACGTACCTTTTTCGCCTTTGCAGGGTCCTCTGGCAGCCTCTGTGTTGAAAAGTTTTGGCCGGCAAAAAAAATTCACCCCGGGCCGCCGCCTTCCCTCGCGCTCCCCAAAACCTTCGGTCCTCCTGCTCTTTTTTTCTCCCTTCCCTCATCCGCATCCCTCTCTTCTCCATCACACAAATTCCCATCTTCAACCTCCCCCAACGCAACAACAGTCTTCTTTTTCGGTTTACTCCAGAAAAAGGAACTCTACCTCCTGCGTTTTCTCCCCACGATCTTTCTTTCTGCCTTTTGACACTTCGCTTCAGCGAAGATAATCAACGACAATCAAGCACTCGCGCACTCTCAGCACCTAGAAATATGTCCTACGGCGGCGGCTACGGCGGCGGCGGATACGGTGGCGGCGGTCGCGGTGGCGGCGGTGGCTACGGCGGTGGTCGCGATCGCAGCGACAGAGGTGGTCGCGATGGCGGCTACGGCGGCGGTGGTTACAACGGGTAAGCATTTCATTGATTCCTTATCGATCGTCATCCGACCTTCATCGGTTGGTTTCGTAAGTCTGCTTCTGCCTGTCTTGTCACCACGGATCAAGGTGGTGGCACAGTTGCCTGTAACGGACCTGAAGCGTCGCGTCTCGGTACAACCGTGACGCGAACCTCGACGTTGTCGAAGTCGTAATTCTTTCTGTTTATCACTTAAAGAATCATCTTACTAACAGTCCAGTGACAGCAACGGCTACGGTGGTGGCGGTGGCTACGGCGGTGGTTTCGGCGGCGGTGGTGGTGACCGCATGAGCAACCTCGGCGCCGGCCTTCGCACTCAAGAATGGGGTCAGTATTTCCTTGTTTCAGTTGCGTCAAAACAAACAAGCTAACCATCAGACAGATCCCAGCACGATGCCCAAGTTCGAGAAGTCTTTCTACAAGGAGCACGAGGAGGTCGCGAACCGCAGCCCTGCTGAGGTGGAATCCTTCCGTCGCAAGCACCAGATGGCCGTCTCTGGCAACGATGTCCCCAAGCCCGTTGAGACCTTCGACGAGGCTGGATTCCCCAGATATGTCATGGACGAGGTCAAGGCGCAGGGTTTCCCTGCCCCTACCGCCATTCAGTCCCAGGGCTGGCCCATGGCCCTGTCCGGTCGTGACGTCGTCGGTATTGCCGAGACGGGCTCCGGAAAGACCCTGACCTACTGCCTGCCTGCCATTGTTCACATCAACGCCCAGCCCCTGCTGGCTCCCGGCGACGGCCCTATTGTCCTGATCCTCGCACCCACCCGTGAGCTCGCGGTCCAGATTCAGCAGGAGATTTCCAAGTTTGGCAAGTCTTCCCGCATCCGCAACACCTGCGTCTACGGTGGTGTCCCCAAGGGTCCCCAGATCCGTGACCTCTCTCGCGGTGTCGAGGTCTGCATCGCAACCCCCGGACGTCTCATCGACATGCTCGAGGCTGGCAAGACCAACCTGCGTAGAGTCACTTACTTGGTTCTCGACGAGGCTGATCGTATGCTGGACATGGGTTTCGAGCCCCAAATTCGCAAGATCATTGGCCAGATTCGCCCTGATCGTCAGACCCTCATGTGGTCTGCCACTTGGCCTAAGGAGGTCCGCGCCCTTGCGTCCGACTTCCTTACCGACTTCATCCAGGTCAACATCGGCTCCATGGAGCTGGCTGCCAACCATCGTATTACCCAAATCGTCGAGGTTGTCAACGAAAGTGAGAAGCGTGATCGCATGATCAAGCACCTTGAGAAGATGATGGACAACAAGGAGAACAAAGTTCTCATCTTTGTCGGCACCAAGCGTGTCGCTGACGAGATCACCCGGTTCCTTCGCCAGGACGGATGGCCCGCGCTTTGTATGTCTACCTGTCCCCGTACTCCCTGGCCCCAAGCTAACGTCCCTTTAGCCATCCACGGTGACAAGCAGCAAAACGAGCGTGATTGGGTCTTGGACCAGTTCAAGACGGGCAAGAGCCCTATCATGGTCGCTACCGACGTCGCGTCGCGTGGTATTGGTGAGTATCGCATTCCCCCAACCTACATGGCAACTTCCAGCAGCCTCGTGCTGTGCTTTACTCTTATGTCTAGGGGCTCTCTTGATTGCGCACTCTTGCCTGATGCATTCGTGTTTCCTTGGTTCTCTCTGCTCCTGTGTGGAGTCTTGGTCTGGTGTGTAGCCGTTGGCTTGCTATACTCGCTATTCCACTCTTGTGCCTCCCATATGCCAATGGTACAAGCGTGGATGTGGCAAATCTTGATTCGATCAAGCTGTCCCCAAGATTCCCCAAGCCCGAGGACCCGGTACACTGAACTTTCCAGGATGGCATTTGACGCAGACGGACTGCCCTGTCTTCGACGGAGTGAAAGACGGCCCGATATGATTATCAAACATACCTGGTTCCATGCTGGAACGTTGCTATACACACTGTGAGGCGTCATGCTAACCCATTCAAGATGTTCGTAACATTACTCACGTGCTGAACTACGACTACCCCAACAACTCGGAGGATTATATTCATCGTATCGGCCGTACTGGTCGTGCTGGTGCAATGGGTACTGCCGTTACCTTCTTCACCACGGACAGTCAGTTTCCCCCTCCCTATTGCCTCACATTTCATAGCGCTGACTTTGTCACAGACTCCAAGCAGGCTCGGGATCTTGTCAATGTCCTCAGGGAAGCTAAGCAGGAGATTGATCCTCGTCTCGCTGAGATGACCCGCTACGGCGGCGGTGGCGGCGGTGGCCGCTATGGTGGCTGGGGCCGTGGCCGTGGTGGTGGCCGTGGCGGCGGTGGTGGCCGTACGTTTTCCCCTCAAAAGTCTTAGTGGTGTTTACGCTAACGGACTCCCCTTGTAGACAACAACTCTAACAATGCCCCTCTAGGTGGTGCCCGACGCTGGTAAGAAACCTGCCATTTGGACCACTCCAAACGGCGAGGTTGTTCATCATCCATGAGGCGGCAATTTGCGCAATTCATCATGCAAAATCGGCGTTCACGTAGACAGAAGGGTTTAGATTCGACGCGCCCGGGATCCACCGATACGGTATATTCTTCCAGTCTGGTATTTTTCCACGACTCTCTTTTTTTTTTCTTTTTTCTTTTTCCCTTGTGTTTTTCCTATCTACCCATATCGGATTTGGGACTGTGCGCAATATTTTCTCAGGCATGGCCAAACGTGGAACAGGCTCAACAAAAGTTTAGGGGGAAACGAGGACGACACGATGAATGGTGTCGGGGACAGCATTAGAGAGACCGTTGGGTCCAGTTACTTACTCGACAGGCGATGACGGCATTTGATAGATGACTGTGTATACCAGGCACTGCCCTGTCGAGGGTGGCGGTAGTAATAGGCCAATTACCTTACGATGTTATTGCATTTTTGATGTGATGTCTCCCGTACCATGCGATTATTTGATAATAGTTTAAGCTTTGGCCAGACATGTGACAAATCCCTCTTCTAACTACTCATAGATGCCAACCAGGAGGGAGGTATGGTGAGTTGTTGCCTCCGGTCAGACAATGACACTCAGTATATATCCTCTTCGTCGTGTATCACAACACTCTGGCTAAGATGGATGGTCCAGCCCGGGCCATGCTTCGCTCACCATGGTCCCTGAATCAGTCGTCGACCGTCTCGAATGTCGCTTTGAAGAGCGACGGTTGTGTCTTTGGGTTTCGTGATAGTATGCCCCCCCAAAGTTGCCTCTTAAGAAGAGGCAGTGCGTCTGGTAACCGACTCCTAGCAAGGAGATAGGAGCGCCACAAGCATGAACCACATTGTACTCAAGTGCTACTTTGAGCTCTGGAGGAAATTTGCTAGACAGTTTAGAGAAAGAGACCCTATAACCATGAAATATGTTCACAGCCCAAGGAGCGTCGCAATTTCACCTCTGTGCTGACCAAAACAGAGAACAAATCTCACAATGGAACCCGTTACCATCGTGTATGGGATCAACAAGACTTCACATCAAGTAAAGGTCACATAAAACACTTGAACAGGACAACAAACAATGAATTTTATGGTTCCTAACCAAATTTGCATTCGTACAGAGTGTAGCTTTCCGGACCAGTAAAGCCATATGCGCATCTTTCATTCCCCTTCACGCGCCAGCCATACCAGAGCTTTCACACCCGAGTTGCACCCTCAACCCTAAACAAAAGTCAAGTAGCAAAACCAAGAGAAAATCAACAAAGCCGGACCAAAAGATGCCTGAGAAGCCAAGAAAGGATCCGAAACTCCCCGCTAGAAAACTCATGTTACCTCCGTGAACAATACTGGACGACCATGTCACGTCCTCACATCCGATGCCAGTTCCTCAAAAGTCAACCTGCATGAGAGTTGAGTTGCGAGATTTGGGTCGTACTGTATCTACAAAGGACGTCCTTCGAGATGAGAAACGGCGCGGCCTTACTCCGACAGGCGGCAGAGGTGTCAGGAAGGGGTCACTGATACTGCTCCTGGCGCACGACTGCGAGTGCCGGCGACGCTTTTCCTTTGCTTCCAACCAGCGCCTGACCCCGGAGCCCTAATCCCATGAGACAAGATCCTTCTGCTTTCCGCTCTCGTCCAGCTCGACCACTGTGGCAGCGAACTCACCCCGTTCGTCCTCGGCCTCAAGGTCGTCCATCTCCAACTCCACTTCTTCGCCATCCTCAAGCATCTTCTTGCCCTTTCGGAGGTAGTCGCCTCTGATGTCCCATCCAAACCTCCAGACCCATGTCTCGAGTTCGGAGAATGCCTGGCCGACGGCAGCCTGTTCGGGGGTGGCAAGTGAGTTGAGTGCCAGAAGTATTTCGTTGAGGCGTCGCTTGTACACGATGAGAGCCATGCGAAGATCGCGAGAGTATGACGGGCCGTAGTCAAGAACAGATCCATCAAGGTAACGTTCGTTATAGACGAGCTGGGCTGTGATTGTCTGTAGGAGGGATCGAACCATCTCCGGCCGTTTGAGGGGCAGGGTATAGGCCTTCAGAACGATCGAGACCAGCATGTGCCACCACTGTTGGACGCAGGCTTCGTTTCCGAGATGCATTCCGACGATGAAGGCAAACTGCAGCTCACCCACAACGTCGTCGTCACTGATACCAGTGGACAGCAAGTACGCGGTGGCATCGACGGCCTGCTCGGTGCGTGCGGCGCCGACACTCTCCGCATCGTACGTTTTTGCGCCCTGGCTGAAGGTGAAGTTCAGTTCGGTGGTCGCGACGGCGCTGGGCATCCGCTTTTCGAGCTCGACCTCGGCGGGAAGCATCAGAGCACCCCTTACACGGTCTGATGTGTGCACAGCCCAGTTGCCCGGCTGGCGGGTGGTGAGTCTGCTCAGAAGAGGGACCGAGATGGCGTTGGTGAGCTGCTGCCAGATGTTGATATTTCTTGCGAACTCGGGTTCCGGACTAGACGGGCCGGAGGTGGCAGACTTGACGTTTGCGTTCAGGGCGCGGAACTGGTAGGGTGCCAGCTTGGAGTAGATGTCTTGGATTTTATCCTTTTGAAAGCGAGCCTCGACCTGGCTGGCGGGCTCACCAATGACCTCGTTGAACTTGTCCCACTGCATGACATGGATCTTCTCCGCGGCTGAGCTGATGACCCAGAAGCCGCAGCGCGTGGTGCTGGCCTCCGTCTCCGAGACCCAAAAGAAGTGCGGACCGGGTGGGATGTCTCTGACGCCGAGGAAGTCGCGGGCGGTGAAAGAGACGGAATCGTAGCCAACTGTGAAGTGAGTGGGGAGGTCCATGATCAGCACGATGTCGCCGCCGCCGAGTGAGTGCTCATGCTGAGGCGACGCGCGCTGGGTAGCGACGGCGTCGTGTGGCTCGATGAGCCCCAGGGGCGGGGGCTCATCATCGTCGGGGATGGTGTGTGGGTTCATGGCTGTTTCTTGTGACCGAGAAGTCGAGTCGACGGGTTGGTGAATGTGCAGGGAGCCGAGGGGATGGGCGCCGGTGACACGGATGGATTTGCAGGATTGAGCCGTGGTGGAGACGGAAGAGTCGGACTTTGGCAGGCCCGAGTTTTTGAGGAGGGCGGGCCGGATGGGGGTGTCGATGGAGGCGCCGGAAATCATTTTTTTAAGGGGGGGGAATGCTGGGAAGAGGACCCACTGCTGTCCGAAGTCGAGAACCGACGGGAGAATAGAAGAAGCGAAGAGAATATGCAGACTAAGTCTTATGGGGTATCAATCGGGTTGTAACAGAATATGCTGGCGAAGCAACGTTGTGACGAAGAGGGTAGTAGAAGAAGAGAGAAAACCTTGATAGGTAAAGAAGACGAGGCAAGGGCTTGTTCGTCCCACGAGGTTTGCGTGTAGGATAAGATAAAGCAGGGAAAGAACGAGCGAAAAGCGATGATAAACAAGGTCGGTGCTGCCTGCCGATTTTGAGGCGACTTAGGCCTCAGGCAAGCCGTTCTCGTTCCTCTGAGAATCTTTATAACTACCTAGGTAGCTGGAAGAGTTGCAACTGAGGTATAAGGGAGAAGAGGAAGTACGAGCTGCGACAACACACCAAGTTAAATGAATGATGGATGGATATGAGAAGAGGCCCAAGGGAAGTGGTAGGGAAGATGAAGATGGTAGAACGCATTCCAGAAGATGACGGCAGCGTCCAGGATGTATTATTGTTGTCTGGCTGGACCGGTCATCATCACTCGTTCCTTCCTTCCTTTTTCCGGTTCGTCTATCCCCGTCTCTTATCGGCCGAAGAGTTCCTTCCTCCAGACAGCCAATCTCCCCCGTCTTCAGGCACTGCACCTGCCTACCCTCGCCTTCCTTCGTTCCAGACCCCTCTCTGTCTGCGTCTTTCCCCTCTTGAGTTGATGATCGGTTCCGTTCGAGACAATGTGGTGGCAGTTGGGGGAGGGGGGGGGGGGGAAGCAGCACGCGTTTGCTAGCTGCTGTGACCGGCCATATTCCAGGTTTGAGGACTCTAAGCTACGTCATAGGTGGCCTGTCATGAGAGTTGGTGTGGAAGGGGAAAGGGGGGGGGGATGCGGCACCAGTAGCCGAATGAACGAATTTAGTGGAATGGAGAGGCAGTCGCCAGAGATACCCAGGGGGCTCAGGCGCTGAAACCGTGTCTTTTCCAGCGGACCTTGCCTCTGTATCACGACATTCCACTGCACTAGCACCCTTCCAAGCGGCCAGGACCCGGCTTCTAACACGTAGACAAACACGCCACCTGACCGATGTCCTGATAAAAAAAAAAGACAGCAAAGGTGAATTGCGAAATATTCCGAAGAAGAAAACAATATGAAACGATTTGATGAATCAAGGCTGGCTTGGGCGTTGCTAGACGTCCGGTGCCTGCCGTTCCATAAAACATAGTCCTCCATCCAAACGAGACACCCCGAAATGCACACCGTCCGCCTGCCTGTCAGTTGCGTCCGTTCCGTTCCGTCCAAAACCATGTCGTTCCGCTCCGTACACCCTGCATCATTTTCCGTAACGGAACACGGGGTCCAACACGACGCAGCCCCCGCTCCCCACCAGGCGGGAAAAGAGCGACGTTGCAATTGGGGGCCGAAAGCCTAAGTGTGCCGCCGTACGAATGTGGTTTAAACGCAGCAAGCTAGCAGGTGCGCTAGTAAATCATCGACATCAAGGATTAGGCAAACAAGAAATGATGCATTTCCACGCTTCTTTTCCTCCCACCCACACACACCCTGGACTGCACCCCCCGGTTACTTCGTCCCCCCTCCCCCCAGTGCCATCGTCTCGGGATCTGCACTGCTAGTCCATCTGTGTATGGTGTATCATAGATGATTACGGTAAGGAGATACGGACCGGTCTAGGAACCCGCGCTGCGGCGAGTGCTCTCTTTTGGCCCCCCTTCCCCTCCCCTCCTGGTCCGCCCTTAATCGTCAAGGATGCCGGAAAAAAGAATGAATCAAGATATCATTAAATGGAAATTTCGACAGCTGACAAAAATAAGAAGCCTAACTCCCGCCTTTTCCTATCCTGTCCGAGACTAGCAAGGTAGCAGGACCTTGGACGCACCAAAGACCCGGCCATCTGGTCCTACTAGTCAAGAAAAAAAAAAGAAACCACCCCCCCCCCCCCCCCCCCCCCCCCCGCCTTTTACACACACACACACACACACACACATACACGCGCCCGCGCAAGGTCTCCAAGGCGGCTATTCGGAACCCAAAAACAAACTATGTTTTTGACCTCGCCTGCCTTCCCTCTCTTCCCCCGTTTCGGTTGACAAACTTCGATACATAAGCACATATCACCTGCCCTACTGCCAAGGGTACCACCTGGGGACCTCGCCGTCGCCTTTTCTTCTTCTTCTCTTCTTTAAGGTTGTGTCCCCCGAGGGCTACTGCCGCCCTCGGACCAACCAAGAAAAAGACGTCACGAGTTCATGTCCCTCTGC